TCCCCCTCCTCCCCCCACCCCGTGTTTGCCTTGGCCCAGGGTCCCGGGTGACTCATCTATTGCTGAGCCGCTGATAGGGGCGGCCAGGCCCGGGGAACCCAAATTATAGGCCCTGGAGGGATGGATGCGCCCGCGGCGGCGGTGAGCTCAGCTGCGCTGCCCACCCTCCGCCTCTCACGCCTTCTGCTGCAGCACCGTAGGCCACCACCCGGAGGCACCAGAGGTTCCGCAGCCCGACTACGCTGGACTCCCGAGAACCCCCCCACACCCCCACCCAACATATCTGTGAGATTACCCTCGACAGAACTTTGCCCCCTTCTCTACCAGAGACTGATGCCTTCCCAGCCCAAGGAGATAGTGCCACCTGCTGGTGCTTCAAAGGAAGGTAGGCTCCTCTGCCAATAACTCTCAGCCCTGGCCCCCTGCTTCCTCCCCACACCCCATCTAGGTAAAGCCTCTCTCCCCTCTGACATATCTCTCTCATTTCTATTTCAAGGGGGGCGGTGGCTTGCTACTAATTTTCTACTTTAAGCCTTTAAAGTTATCCATGGTCAAAAGTGATACAAAGAAAAATAAAGCAGGGTAAAGGAGATAGGTAGTGGAATTAACATTTTATAAAGGGGGAGGAAAAGGGAAGCAACAAATTAATGGAGATAGCTGAGGAAGGGCATTCCAGAAGACAGAAAAGCAGGTGCAAAGATCTTGGGACAGACACTTACTTGGTACGTTCAAGGAATTAGCAAGGAGGCCGGTGTGGCTGGAGGGAGGAACCCACAGGGGAGAGAGTGGTAGGCAATGAAGTTAGAGGACAAGGAAGGAGCAAGGTCAGATTATATAGAGCCTTGTAGGCAAAATAAAGATTTTGCCTTTTCCTTTGAGTGAGATAGGCAATCACTGGAAAATTCTGAGCAGAGAATGAAACGATCTTACTTTGTTTTAGAAAGAATGGCTCTGTGGAAAATAGACTATGGGCCAAGGACTGGGGCAGGGAGAGCTGTTAGGAGGCTATTGCAATAGTACAGGAGAGAGATATGATGGTGGCTCTGACCAGTGTTGTAGAAGTGGAATGGTAAGAATGGATCAGATTCTACATATATTTTGAAGACAGAAGGGCAAGACCTTTTTCTTTTCTTTTTTTTACTGATTTGACACACATTATAAGAAAACAGATGAGTCAAGGATGGCTCTAAGATTCTTGTCCTGAGCGACTGAAAGGATGGAGTTGCGATTTACTGGGATGGGGATGACTGAAAAAAGAGCAGGTGCAAGGGAAGAACTGGGAGTTCAGTTTTGGACATTGTACATGTTGAGGTGTTTATCCAAGCGTTAGATATGCAAGTCCAGAGTTCAGGGCCAGAGATAAAAGTAGGGAGCATGAGACTGGATAGCTCACCAAAGGAGTGAGTGTAGACTGAGAAGAAGCTCCAGATTGAACTGGGGTGCAGTTCAATGAGTTATGTAGAAATTGGGTACAAAGGTGGAACCAGATAAAGAGACTGAGAAGGTGAGCAGCCAGGGAGGTAGGAACAGTGTTCCAGAAATCGAGAGAGAATATTTCAAGGAGGAAGTGATCAACTTTGTCTGCTATTCCTAAAAAGTTTGTTAGGATGAGAACTGAGATTTGACTGTAGAGCAAAAGGGAAGTCATGGATGACTTTTATAAGGAAATGTAGTGGGTTAGAAGGTGTGATTAGAGCAAAAGGGAAGTCATGGATGACTTTTATAAGGAAATGTAGTGGGTTAGAAGGTGTGATTAGGGTGGTGGAAAGACAGAATAAAGAAAAGAAACCGGCACTGGTGATTAAAGCAACGCTTTTGAGTTCTGCAGTAAAAGACAGCAGAGAGGGGCTTCCCTGGTGGCGCAGTGGTTAAGAATCTGCCTGCCAATGCAGGGGACACAGGTTCCAGCCCTGGTCCGGGAAGATCCCACATGCCGCGGAGCAACGAAGCCCGTGTGCCACAGCTACTGAGCCCACGTGCCACAACTACTGAAGCCTGTGCTCCGCAGCAAGAGAAGCCACCGCAATGAGAAGCCCGCGCACCACAATGAGGAGTAACCCCTGCTCTCCACAACTAGAGAAAGCCCTTGCACGGCAATGAAGACCCAATGCAGCCAAAAATAAATTTATATATATATATATATATATATATATATATATATATATAAAGACAGCAGAGAAATGGGGCGACGTTGGGTGGTAATGTGAAGTCAAACAAAGTTCTGGGGTTTTTTAGATGGGAGACATTACAGCATATTTGTATGCTGATGGGTATGATCCAGTAGCTAGGTAAACTGATGACGCAGGAAAGAAGGAGAGGACGATTGATAGAGCGACGATTTGATCTAAATAGGAATTTGGGCCAGGTCATACAGAGTGCGACCAGACCTAGAGCCCTCCCACTCTTCCCCACTATTCCTGGTGGGTGGAATGGTGGAACAAAGGATACTGAATCCTTCTTTCCTCTCTTCCCACCTCTGCTTGTCACCAGTGGCCACAGACAGGACTGCCCTGTCTTCGAGCCCAGCTCCCTCCTCCATGAGGTTTTATCAACCCACCAAGCCCAAAGATGTGACCCAGGCCCCAGTGGGAAGAAACTCCTAAAGGACAAAGGACAAGCTGCCCATGGTACACTGTCTATTTACTTGAGCCATCTGTGCTGGGTGGCCTCTGCAGAGGCCACTGGCTTTTAGACCTGTGGAAGATGCTGGGCCAGTACACCTTGTCCCTCAGGGTCAAATACTTGGAGGGGACAAGCATGCTGGACTGGGCAAAGGGCCTGGAAAATACATTCCCCTCAAAAATAACCTCCATCAGGCTTCATTTGTGTTAATACGCATCTCTTTTAAAATGCAAGTGCCCCAGGAAGATTCATTAAACTTATCAAGCATTTATTTCTTAGCGTGATTTCCCTGCATTGGAGGGGAGGCCTGATCATTTCTGGGACTTGGAACAATTTAGGATCAGGCCTGGGTATATTGCTCAGTCAAAAAGCAACCGAAAGGCAGAGGAGAGGGAAAAGAGAGGATCAAAAAGGGAGGCAATCAGCTCTGTGCTTTGTGACCACCTAGAGTTGTGGGGTAGGGAGGGTGGGAGGGAGACGCAAGAGGGAGGAGATATGGGGATATAGGTATATGTATAGCTGATTCACTTGGTTATAAAGCAGAAACTAACACACCATTGTAAAGCAATTATACTCCAATAAAGATGTTAAAAAAAAAAAGGGAGCGACTGCCCTGGTGGTCCAGTGGTTAAGACTCCACGCTCCACATGCAGGGGCCCAGGTTTGATCCCTAGTCAGGGAACTAGATCCCGCAACTAAGACCTGGTGCAGCCAAACAAAAATAATTTTTTTTAATAAAAAAGGAGAGGCAGGAAGATCCTAAAGACCATTTTTCTTTATCTGCCAATTTCAGGAAGAGCTCCCAGCCTGCTATTGCCACACAGTCACGAGCAGCCAGTAAGGTGGAAAGAGCAAGGGCTTTGAGTCAAAACAGTCTGGGTTTTAACCTGGCTCTACCGTTTATTCCCTCGTTAGCTGTGTGGCCCTTGGATAACTGCCCAATGTAGTTTTTCCTCGGTAAAATGGAGAGACCTAAAGGAGGAGATCCTCCGTCTTCCAGGGGCCATCTGTGTGTGGTGGTGGGGCATGATAACCAGGCTGGCAGTGCCCCCTATGCCCCATATAGGGAACAGCTGCCACTTCTTCGATAGGAGGCAGAGGTGGCCTTGAGGCTGAGATGGAGTCCTAGGAGGAGGGGCTCCCAGGACTCGTAGAGATGGTCGCAGGTGCTCTAGGTATCCTGGCACGGTGAGAGTGAAGACAGCCAGAGTTTGGGGGGAGAAGACAGAAGCCTGGCAGAAAAATTCAGAAAGAAGCAGAAACTTGGAGACACAAGTTCCCTCTTTTGGGTTCAGTTTAGCCAGGAGCCCTTCTCTTCCCAGCCCCTCCATGTACACCCCTGACGTCTGCTCCACTGCCCTTCCTTTCTGAGCCTAGTCCTTAGAGACACTGCCACTCATCCATCTTGATACCACCTTGGTTACAGGCATAGTCGCCCCTCCCCCAGTGACATGCACAGGCTGACACATGCCACAGGGTGACACACTATAGGATGACATGAGGTACGCCGGGTGAGAGTGACACACCTATGCATATTTAATCTCCCACTCAACCGCCCACCTCCGCACACAGTTCCAGACACTCTTTGTTCCTCGGCCAACCTTCTGGGTCTCTCCTGACGTAGCTGCCACCTCCTTCCCGACACCTAGGAGAAGATGCACTGCCCCAGGTGGTGACAAGACGACTAGATGACCCTTTCTGACCTGAGCTAAGTTCCAAGATTCCTGGGAAAGGCTCCTCACATCCCTCTTCTGAACATGGATTTTCTGTGCACAAGGACATCCGTGAGTGTGCGCTCTCAGAACACACTCACACATATTCTCACCCGGAGTCTCATTTGCACTGTCCCACTTTAGCGCGCACACACGCAGCCACTTGTGCACTCCTTCCAGCCCACCTCACAAGCACAGACTGCCGCTGCCTCAGGCCCCTCTCCATGGTGGGGCTCTGTGTGGTCAGCGCATCCCCCAACCCACCCCTGGGATTTCCCTGACCACAGCCCCAGCCCCACCCCAGTCTCCCCGCTTTTCCTTCCCTGCCCAGCCGTCGGGGGTTCCTGGGAGGGGAGGTATCTCCCCAGAGTCGCTGCCCAGAACCACAGCTTTCCTTCTTCCACTCAGGATGGGGGAGAGAGGAGACGCCGGCGGGGACCGGGGTGACGTCGAGGGGACAGCCCCACAGCAGGCGGCGAAGCGGTTGAGCTCCCGGCAGTTTGTCCCCGCAGCACACTGGTCGCCGCGCCCCCTGGCGGACGCTGGTCCCCGACGGGCTCCGGACGCGGAGAGGAGTGAGGCGGGCGCGCGTGGGAGGGCGTCCCAAGGGGAGGGGTCGGCGGCCAGTGCAGGTCCGGAGGCGGGAGCCACCGGGTAGGGGGCGGGGGTGAGCCCCGACGGCCAGCCCGTCAGCTCTCGGCTCAGACGGGCGGGAGCCACGGCCCCGCTCGCTGCCCATTGTCTGCGCCCCTGACCGGTGTGCCCTGGTGCCACAGTGCGGCCCGGCGGGGCAGCCTCCTATCGTCACTTCAGCCAGCGCCACAACTATAAGAGGCGGTGCCGCCCGCCGTGGCTGCCTCAGCCCACCAGCTGGGACCGCGAACCATGCAGCCCGTCGCCCGCCCCCGGGGCTGTTAGAGCCAGACTGCGGACTCTCGCCACAGCCGCCACTGCCGCGTCCAGTCCCACCGCCGCGGGCAGCAGCCAAAGCCGCCCCAACTGCAGCACAGAGCGGGCAAGGCCGGGCAGGCCATGGGGCACTGGGCGCTGCTGCCTGGCTGGGTTTCCGCTACGCTGTTGCTGGCGCTGGCCGCTCTGCCTGCAGCCCTGGCCGCCAACAGCAGTGGCCGATGGTGGTAAGTGAGCTGGTGCGGGGTCGCCACTTGTCTCGGGGCACAGAGCCAGGGGCCAGCCCCATCCAGCTCCCACGCTCTGGGATCCGTCCGCAGACAGGCTCTCTCCAGCGCTCTGACTTCCCTTTGAGACACCGAGGGGCGCTCTGGGGCGGAGCTGCTCCAGAGGATCCAGCTCTGCTTAAGTGGGGTGAATGGTCCGCCCGGTGGCCCACGATACTCCAGCCAGGGAGCCCACTCCCATCTAGCACCACCCTTCTTCCAAGAGCCCCAAACCGAGCCTCACGGCGGTAGTCACACCACAGGTTTCCCAGCCTCGGGAGAGAAAGGGCAGGCGTGCACTCAGAAAGAAGCCAAGTAGAGGGTGGAACTCCCAAGCATTTCACGCCTTGGGTGGGCATGGATGGCAGGCCAGGGTTTGCTCACCAGGCTGCCCGGAAGCAGGCTCTGAGAACCAAGGTGAATATCTAGTCTCCCGTTCTCCGTGCCTCTGCTGTCCAGCTCCGGGTGCAGGGCCCCCGAGCAGCCCTAAGATCCCTGGGAACACAAAACTCTGGACGCCAAGTCCTTTCAAACTAGTGAGCCTGGGAGCGCGGAACTGTTACCTTACTATTGATCCCGCCGCTCTCGCCAGCAAATAGCTCCAGGAAGAGGACAGGGTGTGCGTGACCTTTCTGGTTAGGGTGCAGGTCCCCTTCCAGAGCTTGAGCTCCTATCATGCGTCCCACCAGGGGCATCGTGAACGTAGCCTCCTCCACGAACCTGCTGACCGACTCCAAGAGCCTGCAACTGGTACTCGAGCCCAGTCTGCAGCTGCTGAGCCGCAAACAGCGGCGGCTCATCCGCCAGAACCCGGGGATCCTGCACAGTGTGAGCGGGGGGCTGCAGAGCGCTGTGCGAGAGTGCAAGTGGCAGTTCCGGAACCGCCGCTGGAACTGTCCCACAGCTTCGGGGCCCCACCTCTTCGGCAAGATCGTCAACCGAGGTGGGTACCCAGGATGGTGACGCTTCCTGGACCAGGGGAACGCACGGTCACCCCCAGGGCAGGGGCGGGCAAGTGCAGGGAAGATGTCCGGGGCACCTGCAGGGTCACACGATCCACTCGCCAAGAGCTTCATGCCAGCACTAGCTCTGGGCCAGACTCGTTCTACCAGGGGCTTTCAAGCCGTGCACCTCGGGCACGAAGCTAACTTTTCTGAGCCACTGCCCCAGAGAAAGGGAGTTCCGAGTCGTGGACGCTGGCTGGCCACTGCTGTCCCTCAGCCCCTCTCAAAGCTGGTCTCTGCGGGCGTCTCTTACCTCCAGCCCAGCAAGTCTTGCATCGCTGACGAGGGCCGGGCCGAAAGTTTGGGCTGCGCAGAGGTCTTGGCGGTGCAGAATTCCTCCACTCCCCTCTTTCCGGCTTTTCTCTCTGGGGCTGCCCCACTTCCACCGAGAAGCCAGAATGCTCCCTGAGTCTCAGTAACGTGTGATTACAAGCGTGGCCGTGGTTGCGTGCCCACGCACTTGCTTTCTCCGTGGGACCAGCTTCCCAACACAGCCGGTCGCCGGGCTTTCAGGAATCTAAGGAAGGATTTGGGGCGTGGGCCTCAAGGGTCCCAAGCCCTCCACTGAAGGTGCCTGCTGCACCCCCGCGTGCCCCCTAGCTGATCCCCGCTCCCTTCCCCAACAGGCTGTCGGGAAACAGCATTTATCTTCGCCATCACCTCGGCCGGGGTCACCCATTCGGTGGCGCGCTCCTGCTCGGAGGGCTCCATCGAGTCCTGCACGTGCGACTACCGGCGGCGCGGTCCTGGGGGCCCCGATTGGCACTGGGGAGGCTGCAGCGACAACATCGACTTCGGCCGCCTCTTTGGCCGGGAGTTTGTGGACTCCGGGGAGAAGGGGCGGGACCTGCGCTTCCTCATGAACCTTCACAACAACGAGGCGGGCCGCACGGTGAGCGGGCTTGAGGGTCACCGCACCCGAAACGGAATGGCAGGGTTCTCGGAGTCCCTCGCAGAGGCTAACCTCGAACTTGGGAAGTAACGGTCGGTGATAAGGTCAGGGGGTAGGGTAAGGAGCCAGGCGAGGGCGTCCGGAGAGCGCGGAGGCTTGGAAGGAAGCCAGAGAGTGAAAGAGACAGTGGCTGACAACTGAGAGGTTAGAAGTCATGTAACCCATAGACTGTATTGCCTACAGCCCCTCCACTGTACAGGTTCAAAAAACCAGGTTGAGAGGCAGAGACAGATTCGCCGGGTGGAGCAGAGTTGGGCTTAGTGTCCAAATCTCTGCGGGACATTTCGCGCCTCCCTTCCTCTGTGCGCGGCTAGGCCTGGGCCTTTGCTGAGGTTCCGGCGACGTCCGGGAGGGGGCGGTATCTGGGAAGGTGGCCCTGACTCTGACAGTGCCCTGGAACACCCTTTCTTCTCCGTTTCCCCCAGACCGTGTTCTCCGAGATGCGCCAGGAGTGCAAGTGCCACGGGATGTCCGGCTCGTGCACGGTGCGCACGTGCTGGATGCGGCTACCCACGCTGCGCGCCGTGGGCGACGTGCTGCGGGACCGCTTCGACGGCGCCTCGCGCGTCCTGTACGGCAATCGCGGCAACAACCGTGCCTCGCGGGCGGAACTGCTGCGCCTCGAGCCCGAGGACCCCGCTCACAAGCCTCCCTCCCCCCACGATCTCGTCTACTTCGAGAAATCGCCCAACTTCTGCACATACAGCGGACGCCTGGGTACAGCGGGCACGGCAGGGCGCGCCTGCAACAGCTCGTCGCCCGCGCTGGACGGCTGCGAGCTGCTCTGCTGTGGCCGGGGCCACCGCACGCGCACGCAGCGCGTCACCGAGCGCTGCAACTGCACCTTCCACTGGTGCTGCCACGTCAGCTGCCGCAACTGCACGCACACTCGCGTACTGCACGAGTGCCTGTGAGGCGCTGCGCGGACTCATCCCTAGGAGCGTTCTCGTCAAGCCCACCCCCAAACAGATTCCCTGGCACCTAAGACCCCGATCCTCGCCCACCCAGCCCCTTCAGCCACACTCCGCGACTCCTACGTATCCGATCATTTCTCCCACCTGCTCCTACCTGAGGACTCCTGAAACCACTCGCCTGGGGCGGCATGAACCCTCTTGCCATCCTGACTGACCTGCCCCGGACCTACCTCCCTCCACCTCCGCGGGAGACCCCTTGTTGCACTGCCCCCTGCTTGGCCAGGAGGTGGGAGAAGGATTCGTCCCCTCCTCCATCAGCGTCAGCTCCTGACGTGTAGCTCTGTCTCCTCCACCGCGCCAGCAACCTGCCTGCCTCTCTCCCTCTCCTTTATCCTCCGTTTTTTCCAGGTCCCCACATGCCCTTCCCATTCTCCTGCCAAGGGTGCAGACCCTGAACACACACCTGAGCATCAGGGCCTTTGTCCTCCCCACCTACAGCTGAAGCGGGAGGTTGCAGGGTGAAAGGGCAGCTGTGGTGATGTGGAACATGAGGTTGGGGGACCCCGCAGAAATATCCCCATTCTTCCAGCCTCTGTCGTGGAGCCATTGAACAGCTGCCAGCCATGCCCCCCTCAGCCACCTCCTACCCCCTTCCTGTCCTGCCTCCTCATCAGTGTGTAAATAATTTGCACTGAAACGTGGATAAAAAGCCACAAGTTTGGTTGTTGTAAATAAAACTATTTATTGTGCTGGGTTCCAGCCTGGTTTGCAGAAACCACCTCCACCCAACCCAATCCTCTCCATTCTTCTCTCCTTTTGCCCTCCAGCCTTTTCTGACCCCTCTTCTCCTCTCCCCAATTTCTCAAAGATGCCTTTGCATACCGGAATCAGTATTTCCCTCCGCTGTAGCTATTAGTGGCTCCTCGCCCCCACCCCTGTAGTACCTTCCTCTGCAGAATAAAATCTCTATTTTTATCAGTGACTTGGTGGCTTTTCCTTGAATCCAGAACACACTATTGCTTACCTCCTTTAAACAAATAAGATACACTGATGGGGAACTTGTTTCCTGACCCTGGAAGAGGACTCTGAGATTCTGTCCCTTGGATGACCCTAATGAGGCCACTGGGGATCCAGATCTCCAGAAGAACCCGGTCAGGAGTCAAAAGATGCTGCAGGGTCCCTCTTCCTCTTTGAACACCAGCTGGCTCTGTGATATTAGGCAAGTCCATAACTCCCTCAGTTTCTTCCCTTGCGGAGAGGGGATGAAACAAACAAACTTGGAGCCTGCCTTTCCTATGTAGATGAGCTGTTGTGAAAATCGCTCTGAGTGATAGCTGTGATGGTGTTCTGAAAAGAAACCAAAGAAGAAAGAGGAACCCCAAACAGAAGGGGTGCTGCTGCTCCTGGTGTAGAGCTTTTGGTCCCCAAAGCCTATCTGGGCCAGCTGTGGTCAGGGTGTTGGGCAATGGGGAAGCCACTCCCCTTCCCAAGACAAGGAAATGCCATATTAGGATGCCAGCTTCCAAACCTTGGGCTAAGTAGGATCCAGGTAACAGGTGATAGGCTCTATTCCTGGACCCAAAAGCTCAGAGATGATGATGGGGGAGAAGAAAGGAGCAGGAGGGTTAGAACTCAAATAGAGGCTAGTCTTAAACCAGTGTAACCGAAAGGAAACCCAGGTGTGGTCCATAACCAAACCATGAAGCTAGGCCATTTCCATAAAGAGCCCAAATGAGGATTGTTACTAACAAGACCAATATGATACTTCTGTGTGCATTTCACCGGATTGGAGGGGAGTGCTAATCCTGCCCACAGCCCGAAACCTACCTCTAACTCGAATCCACTCCCTTTCCCTAGGTCTAGGCCCACCCTTAGGCTTAACCTTACTTCAGACAAACACCAACCGCTTCCTAAGCTCTAATGCCTGTCCCTCATCCTAACACGTCCCCCTAGGGGAGGACCCAAAGAGCAGGGGGGAGCTATGAAGCACCGCACCCCCAAGGGCAACAACTGATCCCAGCCTACTAGAGAATTTCCCCCTCTCCCCAGGACTCTTGCTGTTGTTGCTGCCTCCCACCTCTCCCTGGGTGTGTGAACTCTGACCCCTGTTGGCCTTTGGGATATGTGTGGGGGTAGGGAAGTGGAGCCAGGAGCTGCTCAACCCTGCAATGACATCCCTTTTCCTTTCTCTCCATCCAGCAAGCTAGCATCAGCTCAGCTCTGATGGGCAGTTGAGGGGGAGGAATAGAAATCTTATTGATCCTGGGTAGAAGGCACCTGACAGGCCTTGGTTTCCAGTAAAGAACCCCCTGCAAAGGATGTCCAGTTTATAATCCAACGAGTTATTAGATCCCCCAGATCCCAAAGCACGAAGTTAATGGGCTGCCAGAGGCAGGAGGGGGGCTTGGGACCCTGCTAGACAATACCCAGATTCGGGGAGGAGCAGCAGGGTGGGGAGTCGAAGGGTTCGCGGCTGTACCCAACCACTCTTGCCTAATTTCTAACTCTAAAAACTAGAATCAGTATCTGTTTTCAGGCCTGGAAGCTGGGAGGCTCTGAGCTGAGCTGACACATAGGAGCTGGAAGAAGAGCAAGGGAAAAAGTGAATCCTGTTCTGGTCCCAACTAGACTTTCAAAAATTCCGTTCCTTTCTCAGCCTCAGTGGCTTTGTCTATTCAACAGGGATGGTTAATGGTACTTAGTCTTCTTCAGGAAGGTGATAAAGTTGAGATGAGATCATGTACGTGAAACCTCGTGTCATTTGAACACTTGCTGACACCTCTTCTGTGCCAGGCATATATGCCAAATGCTGGGGATACAGTGATATATGAGCCATAGAGCCTGCCTGGAGAAGTTTACAGTCTGGCCAGGGAATCAAGCACGTCAAAAGATGTTGTCACGATAATGGGGGCAGCGCAGTGAGGGCTCAGTGAAGTGTAAAGCCCTCTGCACATGCATGAAGTTTAAGGACAGACTCCCATACTCAAGTCCTCAGCATGGAGGCCCTTCACTTCCAGGCACTGGGACTTCAAGGGAGGAGGTAGGGAAGTACAGAATGGGGCTGGGCCCTCAAGGGGGCGCGCAACGATAAAAAGGAAAAAAGCAAGCTAAAGGGCTGTAGGATCTGCAAAGTACTACATAGGAGCTAATTATTTATTATGATCATCTGTGCCGTCCTCACACCGGGCAGGTAAATCCTGGGGAGGAAACAGCTGTGCCTAGAGAGAGGCCTCACAAAGGTCTTAGGGCCCAGAGCGGGCTCAGGGGGGTCACCATAGGCTAGTGCTATCAGGAATGGGCCTGATGCCCCAGCTAGCCCCACCTACCCAGGCTATCCTCCTGCCCACCTCTGATCTTCCGGTGGTATCTGAGACTGGCAGGGACCCCGGACACAGGGTCGTCCTCAGTGAGTGAGGGAGGCACTTGTCCTGAAATATCCTGGGCGGGGGGAGGGCGGAAAAGCTGAGAGGACTGAGCCTGCACAGTCCCCGGAGGGTCAGCAAGCTGGCACCACACACACCCTGCCACACGCACCCTGGAAAAATCCTGTCAGTGGGGCTGCAAATACCCCAGGGTCTAGCACCCACCCCACAACCTCAGGCTGGCTCAGTCCGCCTCTCCAGGCCAGAGGGAGAAAAATAACAAAATGAGGAGAAAATAAGCTGTTTGGCTGTGGTGTGAGCAGGAATATCCATGCAGAGCTGCCCACCACTCACCCTTACTCACTCTTTCCACACCCAGCCAGGGCGCCCAGCATGAGACAGACCACCCCCCTGCCCCCTCCCCCGTCTGGGCTAAAAGCAGACGCTGGTGAGCGAGCAGCAGGTTATAAATATGCCCAGGGAACTGCCGCCAACTCGCTCCCTTGTCATCCCCTGGGAGGGTATAGGGTGGGGTAGCTCCTAGGGAGGAGCCAGGGCTGCCCTGTTCCCTGGGGCCCAGGAGGAAGTGGGGCTTCCAAGAGGCTACTGCTTTTTTTTTTTTTTTTTTTTTTTTTTTTTTTTTGCCCTTTTCAAAGGGAAGGAGCCACTGCCACTTCATTTTTCCTGGACATTTGCTCATCTGCTCAGAGGTGGGGTCCCCAGCCTCCTTGGGCCATGGCTGGAAGCTCTGAACGAAAGGGCCCAAGTCCATTCACTGTGTGTCACGGTGGAGCCCAGCGCCACTGCTCCTCCTCACACCCAACACCAAAATTCACTCATTCACTCGACAGATATTAACAGAGGGCCTGCTGAATGCCCTGTGCACAAGCATGTCTGCACATACAAGCATACGCCCGTGTATGTACACGCACACAGCAGCCCCTACTCCCACGCACTCACACCAGCTCCAGCCCCTCCTACAGACTTCTTGGCTTTAACCTGGCAGCCTCATCAGGAAGGGTAAAGCTTCAGGCTCCTGGTCCTGTCTCGGAGCAGGTTGGGCAGGGGGAAGGGGGGACCTTGAGAAGAGGGCCCCTAAACATTCCTGCTTCTACTACCTCCCTGAAAAATGAGAGGGTCCTTTCTCTCCTCCCCGTCCAATCATCCTACACAAGGAAGAAAGAGCCACTCTGTAGGATGCTGGGGGGCACCTGCCCAGGCTGCCAGAGCCTCCTGCTTCCCAGCCACTTGCCAAGTAGGTAGCAGGCTGGGCAAGAGGGGGCAGTGCCATCCTGGAGAGCTCTCAGCTCTCACCAGAGCCAAACCCCTCCCTTTTCTATCCTCCCTATTAATCCTCGGAAGTGAAGGGGCCGGCCCTGGCGGACCCTCAGCCCTATTGTGGCCCCTCGCCCTCCTCGGCTGGCGTCTAATTAACTCCTCCTGCCCCCGGTTTTGTGCGCCCCCCTTACCCCACCTTGTCGGCCCCGCCCCTCCGCTCGGCCGGCTCCCCCCCACGGACATTCCAGCCCGGCCGGGCTGGTGTGCCAGGGCAACCAAGGCCGGACCGAGGCCTAATCCCCCCGCCGCCTGGCCCGGCTCGGGGAGCCCCACTCACCTCCCCGCTCTCTGGGGGCTGCCCGGCTCTGCTGTGGCGGAGACACACAATCGGGACAAAGGCGCAGCCCCCAGGGGGCTAACTCAGCCTTCACGCCCAGGTTGTGCGGCATTTGGGGAGTTTAATGAATTGTCCATCACGCCTTTCAGGGCCCGCCCGTCAGCCTGGATTAATCTTTGGAGCCCTGGTGGGGTAGGAGACACTAAGCCTGTATTTATTACTCTCCCATTGTCACTAATTGAGGTAATTATCTGTGACTCTGGCCTGGCCAACAATGCGGCATTCACTCCCGGGACCTCGATGGGCCTGGCTCCCACTCTCAGCACCAACCCTCCCTCCTCTCCTCTCCCAAACCCGCCAAGGGCTGAGTGGAGCCCTGGAGCATGATGGGAAAGTGGACAATGTCCCATAATGCTTCACCTCCCCACCAGTATGGAGCTGCAGCCAGGGAGAGGCCTGGTGCCTCCAAAGCAGGCGAGAAAATAAGGCAGCCTGTCTGGGGACAGGTTTGGCTGGCAGAGCCCTCAAGCCACAGAGGGGCATGTCTTGAGGTCTTTGGTTTTCTGGACTCTCCAATGCCCCATCTCTGGGTTTCTGGCGCCAGGGTCTCCCAGGGCCCTTCTGTGGATCCACCTTGTCCCTGTAGCCTCCAGAGCTCTAGGGTATTAGGAGGCCCCATCCCATACCAGGTGTATTTTAGGGAGGTCCCTAAAGCTTTCAGGGTTGGCAGAGTGGTGTGGGTATGATGGGGGAGGTGGGGAGAAAGAATAGGAAAGGGCTCGTGCGGGAGCTCAGGGGAAGAGGAAGAGGAGCCGTCCCAGGAAGGAGCATCCAGGGCTCACGCTAATGCGGCCATGCACTAACCTTGGGGAGAAACTTGGATTTGAAGTGGTGAGCAGTGTCAAAGAGTAGATTTCACATGGAGATGGCCTCCCAGGTCAAGGGGATTGGCCGTGGGGAACAGGTGTGTGTGTGTGTCTGTGAGTGTGTAAAAGAGAGAGATAGAGAAAGATAGCAAAGGAAGATTTGGACAGGACTGGATGGTGAGCTCCTGGAGGGCAGAGACTGTGTCTTTGTCACTGTTGTTTTCCAAGAGCCTAACATTGTACCTGGCACACAGTAGATCCTGTCAGATGAATGGATGGGTGAGGCCTGTACTTTCATTGGGGTTAAGATCTGTCGACTCTCCTCTTCCATAGCTGCACGCAGACTCTTCATTCTGCCTCAGGACTTGCTGAAAAGAAGTTCTGACCATCCCCGGACAGTTCTTGAATGGGCACTTCACCAGCTGCCGGTGTCAAGGACCTTGGCAGAACTCAGTGCTACAGTTGGAACAGCGCCACCTTGTGGTGCCTCTTGGGAGAGCTCCTGCGAGACCCCAGCAAAGGAAACCGGGTCATCCCTCCCAGCAGGGGGATGGGGGCGGGGGTGGTCACATCAGGCAGCAGCCACCCCTCCCCCTATATGTTGACCCTGAATTGCTGTGCCGGTGTTCCTGTGGCACAGTTTTATCATTTGTTCCTTCCTTCCGCCAGCATTTGCTGAGAACCTGCTCCAGGCCAAGCTTGTAGGTGATATGGAGCTAAATCAAAGGCGCTACTCTTGAGTAGCTCATGTTCCAGTGGGGAATTCTACAAAAACTCTCTGCCCCTCACCTCTCCGTCAGTTCCTCTCACCAAAGCTCAAACGTTTTATCCTTGCTTCCCAGGGACACTTCATGATCTGGCTCCCACACATCATTCCAGGATCCCATCCCTCTGCAGCTCTGCCTTCCCCAGTGCCTTTGCTCCCAGTGAAATCTGTGTGCTTTCCCACCTCTCTACCTTCACCCACACCCTGGAATGAACCTCTTCCCCATCTCCCGCTGCTGAGATCCACCTCAAAGCTTCCTTCCTCTTGAAGCTCTTCTAATTTCCCTTGGCAAAGTGGCCCTGCCTCCTGAAGCACCTTCTTGGCAGCGCTTTCATTAACAGCACATACTGGCTGTTCCATGGGTGGTGATCTGTGTATGTTATTCATGTTCCTATTGGCTTCTAGCTTTCTGAGGACATGGACTCTGTGTTTTGTTCATCTTGGCATCTCTTGCAACACTGAGCTAGGCACATCATATGCCCTCGTTAAGATAGATGGATGGATGGATAGATGACTGAATGGATAGATGGATAAATGGATGGAAGGATGACAGATGAGTTGGTGGATGAATGGATAAATGGATGCGTGGGATGTATAGATGGACGCATGCATGCATGGATGCATGGATGAATGAACAAAAGGATGGATGCATGCATGCATAGATAGATGGATGGAGGAAGCAAGTCTTCTTTAAAAAAGATTCACAAAAGGCTATGTAGTACCAGGGGCTTCAAGGGAGGGAGGCTACCCCATGCCAGGACACACAGAGGAGAGAAGAGTGTCCAGGCCGAGACTTCCTTCACTAACAGGTGCACCCTCAGTGACTGGTCTCCCAGAGGCCTGGGTATATTCTGACTCCCCAGTAGTTATAGTTTGGGAGCTGTTCCTTCCGTCATGCTCACGTAGACCCTCTGGAATGTCTTCATCAGCATATATTATATTGTACCGCCTGCACGGTGATGATTCTGTGGTTTCCTCTTCCACATCCCGTACCCTGTCTCACACACACCCTAGATCTGTGAGCTCCCTGAAGATAGGTAACATGTCTGAGTCTCTTGTGTGTCCCTAGGGCCTGGCATACAGGTTTAATGGGTGTGTGAACAAATGAATAACTGAGTGAATGCCGACTCTCTTCCCCACAGACACATTTTGCACACTACCACTACTATTCATGTTCAGCCATCTTTGCTTGTCCTCTCCTCCTCACACACTTCCACACACGCCAGAGTTATGGCCTGGTTCTTTGTTTCATTACCCATTTGTGGCCGATCTAGGGAAGTCCCAGGGCTCTCCTGAAAGTCTGAAGGGGGAGGGGGCTCTTAGCTCCTCTAAGGCCATATTAACTGGGACCCATTCAGAAAAGGGCTTCCCTGAGGAGAACCTGGCTATTGGGAGGGTAGGAGCATCCTGTGCCAACCTGAGGGCTGCTGCCCCTACCTGGCCACACCCTCCAGCTTTGCCTTCCCTACTCCTGACCTGTGAGGCTGTCCCAAGGTGGGGGTGGGAGGAGAGAGGTAGTTGTGGCCTCTGTCTTGAGGCTGGCTGGCTGGCAGACACAGCCAGATTTAGAAGTCATTTTCACAGCAGGGAGTCTCCAGCCTTCCACCCACAGGGCCCTGCAGGGCCAGTCTGAGATATGGCTCACCAAGGGCTGGCCCTGAGACCTGCACTAGCTCCTCCTCTTCTCCTCTCTCTGCCTTTCTCCCCAGATCTTTAGCAGCTGGTGCTGATTCCACCCTTAGGCAAAGATAAATGGAGTCTTGGTGAGGGGGGGGGCGGCTAGTGCACTGGCACACCATTCACCCGTTCAAGGGGCTGTTTGTCTCCACCCCAGGGATCCCCTCTCCTCTCCGCCTCTGCTGCCTGTTCCTCCTCTTCCCTTACCTCTACTTCTCTCTTCCCATCTCCTAGCCCGATACCCCAACACTAATGACATAGCCCTAGGGAGAAATAATAATCAGAGCTTAACACTTATGTATCACTTACTATGTACCAGGCATTGTTCTAAGTGCTTTACGTATTGAATCATTTCATCCTCCCAACAAGCCTATGAAAAAGCACTATGAATAACCTCATTTTATAACTCAGGATACCAAGGCACAGAGAGAGGTTGAGTAATTGCCCAAGGTCACACAGCTAGTATGAGGTAGGTACAAGATTTAAACCCAGGCTGCCAGGTCCCAGAGTCCGTGTTCTGAACACAACACTACCATAGTTCTCTAACAATGATAGCAGTGTGGGTAAGCTCTTAGAAACTGGCCTCCTGTGTGCTCAGCCTCAAAGAGGCCCGGGCAGCAGAGTGGAGCCCACCTCCACAAGGCCAGCCCCTCCACTTTCCCATGCAGCTCACCTCTCCTGCCAGCCCCAGAGCCCTGGAGCCCCTGGGCTACAGCGAGATCCAGGCAGATGCTCTCACCACTGCCCTGGTCTTCCTCAGTCTTCCTCCTAGCCTGAAGTCCATCCTCTTCTCAGGCCCAGAGGTCGGAGGCACACACCCCTCAGCTGGAGCGGGCTTACCCCAGCCTGGCCTCAGTTTTCACTCCTGCCTTTATCTTCCACAACTCCTCTGAATGTATCCTCAACTCCAGGCAAACCAGACCATTTGATAATTTCCTAAACATACCCTGTTTCCCTATATCCATGCCTCTATTTTTGCTCTCCCCTCTACCTGGAACCCCTTTCCCCGAATTCTATCTCAGATGCCGCCTCCTCTATGCAGGCTTTCCTGGTCTCATAAAATCCATACAATCTGCCTTGTTTGATTCCTTAGAGTACTTAACACCCACTGCTCAATCTATCATTATTTGTGTGTTGTCCTCTTCACCCCATTGTCAGGCAGGTCTTACTCATCTCTTTCCTGGAGCCCAGCTTAGTGCCTGGTTCCCCTCAGGTGCTCAGTAAATGCTCAGTAGTTATAATCGGTAGAAGTTAGAATTGTAGGTGGAAGGGAGACAGAACTCAGGAACCTTTGATCTCTGCCCAAGGTGAACCCCAATTACTTTACTTCCTCCAGTAAGAGCTAACTTGAAACCTGGCAGTGTGGGTTCCCGGCAGCTTCTGGGATGGAAGGACCTTCCCGGGTGACTGACCAAGGTTCTCCATTTAGGTTCAAAGCCCAAAGAGGACACCCCTCCCCGCGCCCCATTCCACTGAACCAAGGCCCGGCTTAGGGTCCAGTCCAGCGGCCTCCCTACCCTGCCCCCTCCCCGTCCTGCCCAGCCTCTCCTGGTGTGGGTGGGGAGTGACACTGAGATAATTGGAGACCAAAACTATACGCGGTTTGAGAGCGGGGCTGGGGATCTGAACGCTGAGCCTGAGTCGGAGTTGGCAGGACTCCGTGGGGGTGGGGGGCAGAGGCGGGGCCGAGGGCCGGGCCAGGACTCGGAGACTGAGTCTGAGCGAAGCCCCCGCGCCTGCCGAGTCGGCGGCTAAATTTACCCAGGCTGACTCAGCCCTTGCCCGGAATGGGGGGTGGGGGGAGGGCATCGGGGCAATGGGAAGAGCCAGCGGGGATGGGGTGGGGGGCAAGGAACAGAGAGTCCGGCCTGGGGGAGACAGGGGTGGGCAGGGAGTTTCCATCCAATAAAGGAGTCTCCTCCACCGCCCACCAGGCGGGAAGGAGCGCAGGAGCCCTGGGGAAGGGACACTATGGGGAACGGGTCGGTGAAAGGAAGAAGATGCCAAGGCTGGACAAAGGGAAGCTTAGATTTATTGAGCGCCTACTGTGTACCAGGCACTGTGCAAGGCGCTTTACATACATTATCGCATTAAGTCCTCACAACAACCCTGCGAGGTAGGTGTTTATAAACCCCCATTTGACGGATGAGGAAACTGAGGCTCAGGGAGGTGAAGTGATTTGGCCAAGTTCACATGGCTAGTAAATAGAGACAGAAGAGGTGCCCGAGATCGAAGAAAAAAAAATACTTCAATGTCTGGGTCCCAAGCCGTTTGGTGTGGATAGTAGTACAAAGAGGGGCTCCGCGCGCTCCAGAGGTCTGCAAGGCCAGAGGCCTGCTCCCGATCTCGCAAGACTGGAGACAGCAAGGCGGGGGACCCGCGCGCAGTAACTAGGGAGCAATTGATTAACTGGCAGTGCCGGGGTTGGAGGGACTCGCGGACTAGCTACCAGGGAAATCCGCGACCTGCGCGCGCCCCGTAGTGGCTACAGCGAGTATCACACCCCACACCTACAGGCTTTTGGGGACCAGCCTCCCTCTTCCTTCCCTGGCTGGTTTCTGGAAGAGGCAGACATGCAAGACATTCTCAGGGTTCTTTCAGATGGGTGATACCACCTGAGTGGGAAATCGTGGTCACTATTCAGAGCATCACTAAGGAACACTGGGGAGGAGGAAAAGGGGAAGGCCTAAAAGAGTCCCAAGCTGCTCAGCTCAGACCACCACAAACCAGGGACAGTGACAAGGCCACCACCCTGCACTGCCTTGGGGATCCTATGCCTAAACCTGAGACTGGAATAGGAGCCCTTGCCCACTTACTCGGCTACTCTGCAAACACTGCACAGTCTCTTGAATTGAGAGTGAATGCAGGTGTCAAAGAAGCCACCCAGGGACGCTCAGACTCTGTTCACTTATTCCTAACTGTCTTGGCTTGTGCAGGGGAGGAGTAGATAAATGCCTCCTCAAGGACTCCAAAACATCAGGGATGGACGTTAGAACTCCCTTGTTTTACATATTACAGGGCCTGGAGAGGGGAGGCGACTTGCCTAAGGTCACCCAGCAAACCAGTGTCAGAGTTGGGACTGGAAGCCAAAACCTGTGACACCAAAGTGAGTCCTCTTCCTGCTTTGCTGGTGGCTTCTGCCAAGAGCCCCTCCTCTTCTGCCAAGGGCCTCTCCGTCACCTGGTCACCTCAGTCCGAAGCCTCTCCATCACCTTCCCCCTCCTGCCCAGAGGCCCTGCCCTGAAGTTGCCCTATGACTATCCCATCCCTGTCCTCCTGCCTTATCCTGCCTAGGCCTCTCTGCTCAGTTCCATGCCTAGTGTGTCGGCCCCTTCTGAGACCTTACCCGAGTGCCCTGAAGACCCTACCAAACGTTAAAGTCTACTGCGCACCCTCACCTCTCCTGAAAAAAAAAAAAATCATGAATTGACATACGCTCCCTTTCCTTTCATCTGTGCGCCTTCTATTTTGAGTATGGGAACGGGTATAGGTAAGAGGTACAGGGAAGTCTGTGAGGAAGAAAGGGGACACAAATACAATAAAGGGCCTCTCACTGTCGCTCCCTATTTCCCTGTGGGGTCCCCTTAGTGTCCCTCGCCCCCGAAGAGGACCTCCTCGGTTTGGCTGATGACATCTAGAATCTCTCGGATATTGTCGCTCAGCTCGGCTGCCTTCCCGCCTTCCGGGGGCCCGGTCCGCTCGTTCCGCCAGGAGGCGCCCGAGGCTTCCGTGTCGCTTCCATCAGAAGAGCTGCTATGGACGCTGAGCTCCGCAGCTTCGTCGGAGTCGGAGTCCGGGGCGGTGTGGCGGCGGATGCGGGACACTGCTTCCCGCAGGGCCCCGGCATAGGGCCCCGGGGTCCGCGCCCAGCCCCGGCCTGCGCGCCGCGGGACCGCAGCCACTTCCTCCGAGCCCTCGGCACGGCGCGCGCCTCCCGAAGCCGCTGGGCCTAAGGCTGAGTGCTCTGGGCTACCTGGCTGCGTGGGGGCATCCTGCAGGTTTACTTCGCCGACCGGGAGCCCCAAGATGCGGGAGGCGCGCTCCTCCAGTGAGGAGTCCGCGGACTTCCCGCCCTCAGCTTCGAGCCCACGTCCCCCACCGGGCTGCTGTGAAGGGCGACTGCTCAACAGCAGCTTTCGGCAAGGGGAGGGAAGGACCGCGGCCCCCTCTCCCTCCTCCTTGTTGGGCTTCAGTTGGGTGGGGGCATTCCCCACAAGGCGCGGCACCCCAGCGGGCAAAAGCTGCACATGCTGGGTTCGAGGGGTCGGAACATACTGGGACCGTATCACCACGCAAGTGGCGTCAATGACAAAGACGCCTTCCCCACGAGCCGGGCCACGGGAACTTCGGGGCAGGGTGTGGGGGCGGCGGGTCGCCTTCCAACCCTCCAAGGTCTCGGGTCCGGCCTCCTCTCTATGACCCAGGGACTCCCTCCATCCCGTGCCTCCCGGAGCCCAGGGTCTGGGGAGGGTCTGGCTATGTCGGGGCGGCTGCTTTTTAACGGAGGGCATCCAGCACTTGGGGAGCCAGCTCTGTTCTCTCCCTTCCCCGGAGCCCTTGGGATGGGGCCTGGACCTGGGAGCAGGACGCGGGGGGCTGGGAGTGGCAGGTGCAGACCCCGCAGGAACTGTCTCCGTGCCTGGGTTCCCAGCAGCTTTGGCTTGGGGATGTCCGTCGCTACCACTCTTCAGGCCAGCAGCAGCCAGCCTCAGGCTTCTCTCCGCGGCCACCTTACCGGACTCCAGCCTTGGCCTGGCTGTTCCACAGCCTGGGGATCCCCCCAGGAGACCCCGGCCCTGACGGAGACCCCAGGCCCCTAGGACGTCCCGGTAGATCCGAGGATCTAGCCTCTTCTTTGTGCACCCTCCCTCTGTCCTGGTCGGAGCAGAGGTTGAAGAGGCGGGCGCCTGCGAGGGCTCGGGTCCTCGCTTAGTCCCCAGGGTCCTGTGGGGGCCTTCGTAAGAGGGTGGAGCCACGTAGGGTGGCGGCCGGTCCCAGCGGCGTCGCGGGGCCATTCCGGCAGCACCTCTCAGCAGCAGGTGAGCTTCGTAGCTGGGAGGCCCTGGCCGCCGACCTCCCCAGGGCCCCGCCCACGCCGCCCCTGGATTGCTCTGCGGCTGCGCGGATGGACGGGGCGGTCGCCCCACGGACCCCAGGCGCTCCGGCCGTGAGGGAGCTGGGAGCCCTGCAGGCTGGGCCACCCGAGGGGCGTTCCGAGGCTCCGGGCGGGGCCGACCGGGGGGACTCCTTCGGGCCCCACCAGCCTTGCGCCTTTTTCGCTCAGTCTCCTTGGCCTCCCGCTCCTGCGATGCTGCTTTCCTTTTCTCTTGCTCCCGGGCTCGGGCCTCGGCCGGGGGCCCCGCCCGCCAGTTGGTCGCCTCCTGCAGCACCCTGGAGGCCCAGGGCCGGCGGGGCGGCGGCTCAGGGGATCCCAGGCGCGGCCCACACCTGGGACAATGAGCAGGAACCCAGGTGAGCAGTTTGTGGGGGAAGGGAGGCGAGGTCCGGGGAGCTGGGAGCGCTGCAGCCCACTTGGGGCCGCCTTGTGGAGGGGAGTGTGTGAGTGTGTGCGCGTGTGCACGTGCGTATATGTTAAGGTTGAAGTCGAAGCGGGACTCCTCACCATCTCTCCATACACACTTTAATAGCGTCTGCCCCATCTCACCTGCCCTTTCTCACGCCCACTCCTGTCCCCCCAAACAAACGGGATGAGTCAAGCCCCAGCCCTCGGGATGGGGTGGGGGGAGGCGTGGGAAAGAGAAGGGGGAACAGCAGCCCTGGCTGGTGCCCACGGTAAGGTGCGGACCCCAATCCCTGCCCCACCACTCTCTTCCCCTTACCCCTCCTTCACTCACGTGCGGCTCTGGGGCCCGCGGGCCCAGTGGCTGGCCTGGAAGTCCATGAGCTGTCGAGGAGGGGCGCGGCGACTATAATGACAGGAAATAGTCTTCACTTCGATCACCAGCAGCTTTGATTTCTGCACCCAGAGGCAGCTGCCAGACTCCTCATCCTGGAGCTCCCGGGGGCTATCGGGCCCCTCGGAGAAGAGCTGGCCATCCAGCATCCTGCCCCACCCCACCCCGGCCCCCCACCCTCCCACCCGCCCCGAAAGCCCCCTCCCAGCCCGGGGAGCCGGCGCCCACTGCAGAGCGGCGGGCCCAGCGACTGGGGACTATATATACCCAGGCACACGTGTGTGCCTGTCTGTGTGTGTGCGCGCGCATGTGACACGGCGCGGACGGCTCCGCGCTGCTACCTCCCCCACGTGCACGACCGCCTCCTGGGGCCCGGGATTGGGCGCCCCTTCCCACTGCTCTTGTCCCCCAAGCCTGATGGGACCTGCACGAGTGGGCAGGGGATTTCTTATTCTTGCCAAGCTGACAGCGCCTGCACCCCCGCCCCCATTTCTTCAACCTTCCCGCCGTTTTAACCCTTCATTCTCCTGCTTGTCAGGGTGCCTGACCAGCAGCGTTCTGCCCCTGCCTCGGACTTCGTTTTCTCCGACAGGGAGGTGATGGGAATGGAACTCAAGGTCTCCGCCTGCCACTCTCTGCTGGTTTCCATGGGGTTGGGGTGCAGGAGGGGCTGGCCCACGGCTGGGGGGGTTATTTTTAGCGGCAGTGGCGTTCGGGCGCAGAGAGGAGATGAGTAACCAGCTTCCACGCGGTGGAGGGAGGAGGCGGTGGCTTTCACGCAGCCTTTGTGCGACTCTGGGGGAGAGCTGCCTCCAAGCTCAAAAAGGGTCACCCCCCCCCATACATACACCCTTAACTCCTTACCCTCTCAGTGCTGTGCTCAGGGCTGCTGGTGCAGCAGGACAGGAGTCTGTCTTAGCCATCGAAGCTGCCCACACTCTCATTCTAAGATGTTTGTCCTTGGGCACCCGTGGAGCCCTCTCCCTGAGGCAGGCTCTCTCCCCTAGCCCAGAAGCGTGGATTTGGGGGGTCATAATGTTCTCAGCCTGACCTCTGCTCAGCTTTATGGAGGACTAGGCTGCGCACCCACTTGCACCCTCTCAGAGGGTACAGAGGAGGAATGGCGTGCTCCCTTGGCAAAACTAATCCCCTAGCAACTGAAATGATAAAAGTGGGCCCTATTTCCCAGCGTAGATCTCTCCATCACCACTACCACAATGCCTGGCTGACTCAACCCCCACCTGAAGTGGTGCTGAAGACCATCACCTTTTAGGCTCGTTCTGTCCCGGGGGGGTCGTTACTTACATCTACATGATCCCTCCCCCCAAGCCTATACCAGGTGTCCCCTGATTCACCATGGTAATGTTAGTGGCAGCACGGCCCACGCCAACCCTTCCATGCAGAGACTTAGCAACCATGCCTGGCAACCATGGCAGCAGTTCCAGCGGAGAGGAGGGGTGCGGGGAGGTGGGAGAAAAGAGTGTGTATGGCAATGGCTCCTGAAGAAGGGATAATTCGCCTCTCCTGAGAGGAACAGGTAAGAATAGAAGGCTTTGAGGCTCCCAAATTTTGTCCCTTGTCTTTCTTTCTGCTCCATCCTCAGACTCTGAGACTGACTGGTTGGGTTTTTAGGGGGCAACGGGAGACGCAGATCCCCATTTGTTTTCCACCAAAGTATATGCAGCCCTTAGGCACAGACCCTTCCTTTTAAGGTGATGAGCCAGGAGGGTTGTTTTAGGACAGAGACTGACTTACTGAGAACCAGAGAAACAAAACCCAGGCCTCCTGCTCCCTAACATGGAGCTTTAGAGAGAACCCAAACATCCCCTATCCCATCCAGTCGACCCCACTTTACACCTACCAGATGCACCGATGTCTCTTTGCTTGAAGGTGCTTCCTTCCACCCAGGTCCCAACAGAGCCCTAAGGCTTTAAAAGTCCTTGCCTCCTCCCTAGACGTGATGGAATGTGACATAAGGAGACATCTGTCCTTTCCACCATTCACCCACCCCCACACAAACATACCCTAATTCTAATAACTTGAAAGCCTCCCTCCCTCAACTCTGGGAATGTGCTATGAGAGCTGTGAAAGGATGAATGCAGAAGCAGGGGCTTCTCCAAAGCCATGATGCAGCACTGAAAGCTGACCTCTGACCAGTGCCCTGATGCTTCTCTGTGTTCCATCAAGAAGCCTGGTTTGGAGGAACCAGTATGGTATGGCAGGGTTCATCCGAGTTCTTAGGCACAGTGTGGGTAGGGATACACACAGGAGTTACTCTGAAGTTCTTTCAAATCTTGGATAGGAAATGGTTATCATACCTGTAAGGCAGTGGTGAGATGGTACCCAGAATTTGGTTCATAGCCAACAATCTAGCAGTCCTTACAGTGCTCGGTGCTGACTACTGTTTTGGTCTACATGGTTTCAGCACAGGGAAAGGGTCTGATGGAGTGACCATAATCCTGCTGCTCCCCACCCCCCACTCTCCAGCTCATATCTACCTTGGAAGAAAGGGATTTGTGAGTTCAAAGACAGTGCCAGCTCAGCAAAATCCAAAGAGTCCCACCTTCTCTAAGAAAAGTTGATAGTGGCAGGTTTCTCTGCCTACCTAAAGGAGATCCTCAGTCTGTGATGGGATTTTCCTTGGGTGCCAGCTATGGTCCAGGCAGACGAGAAAGTGAGGTGGTAAGGAGACTGCAGGGAATAGTTACGAACAGTGAATTAGAAAGGCAGTAAATCTAGTGTAGTGGTGAAGTGCATGAGCTCTAAAGCAAGACTATTTCGGCTCAAATCCTAGCTCTACTTTTTATTAACGGTGTGGCCCTAGGCTAGTTACTTAGCCTCTCTGTGCCTCAGTTAAAAGAAAAAAAAATCTGTAAAAATGAAATAGTATCTACTATTGTTCTGAGGGTTAGTTGAAGTAATATATGTAAAGCACTGAGAATGGTACCTGGCACACAGCTTTATATATACGTGTGTGTGCTATTATTGTTGTTATTAATGATGAGCTGAAGAAGCCATATGAAGTAGGAAGGCTGGAGTAGTAGTGTCTATCAACTACAAAAATCAAACACTGAAATACCATGAAGAGGCTCCTGTCATTTTAATTAGGTTTGCCACAAAAAGCAATAACCTCGGCTAACCACTCTGCCCTCCCCCTCCACCTGAGTCTCATCTCCCTTCATATGCATACAGCACAGGAACCCAAAGGCCCTCCTCCCCATGATCCTCCCCACTCCCACTATGGGAAGAAATGCCATTAAATGGACTCAGCCTCCTCCATACAGCATGAAACAGGATGAATAAAAATATCTTTATGAAGAGTTTTGTTGTGTCCATTATCTTAGGGTGGAGTCAGGGACAGAGATAGAGGCAAAGGCTGGGTGAGGTCTGGGGATCTCTCAGAGATCAGAATTTGCCTGAGAAGCACAGAAAGGGGGCTATGTCTAAGTGGGCAGGGGCCAGACTGAAAGTTTTCCTCAAGGGTGAGGATAAGGACAGCTAAAAATCCATTCTCCTTCCTCCCCCACACCTTCCCTCACTCCCATGTAGAAGGGTAGGGGGCTCCCGGGCAGGGAACAGAGTCCCAATTCTCTAAAGTTCTCGTCTCTGGTTCCCAGAGCTTTGGGCAGGCAGTGAGTGGGGCATAACCCCTGGTGCTGCATGACCCCTTCCCCCGGCTCAGGGCTTCTCTCCGCCTGTGAGCACCAGGGCCTGCAAGATGTCAGACAGTGATACAATTCCCTTGACCACATCATTCTCATCCACCACTACAAGTCGGTGAACCTGCACAGAGCAATAAGGAAGGGAGAAAGGGATGTTTAGTGCCAGCCTCAGTTAAGGTGAGCCCTTCAGCCCCTACCCTCCATGCCAAACCAAAGATGCTACCCCCAGCACCTTTTGGGTTGCTGGCTCCCCTACCTCTGCTTCTACCAGCCTGTTGATGATGGTTTCCAGAGTCTCATGCAGGTAGCACTTGAGGACACCCTCAAAGTGATGCGATCGATGTTGCAGGGCTTTGGTCACTGACACATCTAGGTTGTTGTAGGTCTTTTCTGCTGCCAGATTCTGGGGAGAGAGAGAAACATTCATGCAGGGAAGCAAGGGAGCCGGCCCGCAAACTCCGAGCCCACCCAACCTCACCAGAGTGATTTAGGGTAGCTGTCAGCCATGCCCACAAGCCATACCCAGCTCATTCAATTCCTTTTCAAATAGGATTTGAAAGCTTGGAAGCTTCTAAAACCCTCAGGTCCCAGAAGAGACTCTCTTCTTCTCCCTCTCCACATCCAACACCCCACCCCTTTCCCTGCCTCCCAGCACCTCCACAATCACTCACGATAACATCAAACTTGGAGTAGATGTCCACCACACGCCCTAGGGGGACAGAGGCAGCTCAGCAAGGAGGATCTGGCATCCAAGGCTCCCCCTGCCTATAGAATCACCCTCCGGGCTGAGCTGAGGGGACAGCAGATTTTCCCACAGCCTCCCTGGCTTCCCTGGAGCCCTCCCTCTCCTTTTGCCCAATCTCTCACCTTTCTCATCCACCACTGGCAGGGCTGAGACTCGGTGCTGTACAAAGATGCCCAGAGCCACGTAGACGGGGGTAGTAGTGCGGACCATAGCAATGTTAGCATAGGTGCCAATCTGTAGCTCTTCCAGAGACTTAGACATGAACTCTGGCTTAGGGAACTCAGTGATCTGAGGAAATAACCATCATCTTGATTTTTTTCAAGGCCCCTCAAACCACCTTTGGATACCCCTCCGACAAGTATGTAAGAAGTAAAAACTGGGCCGAGGAACACTTACAAACAACTTGAGGAACTTGAGGATGCGCTTGTGGGTAAGGATGTACAAGGTGTTGCCTGATTCCGGGTCAATAACTGGCAGCCTGTGGATCTTGTTTCGAATTAATGAAGAGACAGCATCAAACAAGCTGTGGGAAGGTAGGGGATAATGATAAGTTCCACAGTGCTGGGCCTGAGGGTGGTTAAATAGCTCCTTAGAGTTTGTTTATAAACAGGTGGTTGGGGAAGAGGAGCAGTGTTCAGACTAGACCTAAATAAATATGTGTGTGTGTGTGTGTGTGTGTGTGTGAGAGAGAGAGAGAGAGAGAGAGAGAGAGAGAGAGACAGAGAGAGAGAGAGAGAGAGAGACAGAGAGAGAGGAGTGTCTTGCCTCTCTTCTGCCCTTGGATCTTTGGGTATCTACGGCCTTAGCTATGATGATGGCAAGGCTCTTTCCCCTCTGGACAAATGGTTAGCTGGAACTCACCTGGCATTAGGAGAAATGCAGACAAGTGGTTTAAAGGAGTCCTGTAGGTACACCTCTGAAGGGAAAAGGGAGGTTCACAAAATACCACCATGAAAAACTGTTTCCCAGGAAACTTTCCATCCCTTTATCCTTTTACAACCCCCAGTTCTCTACATACCTCTCCAAGTTTCTATCTTGTGTTCTTCTAGCTCATAGATCTGTACCTGAAAGCAGAAGCAACAGAACTTGAGACTTGATCTCCCTGCTTCACTAACCCCCTGTAGTTTGTTTGGAAGAAAGGAAATGAGAATGAGGGACTCTGGGCAGGGAAAGTGGTTTTGGTCATTGAGCTAAGGCTCCTTACCAGGGCTGATTTATAGTAGCGGTGCAGAATATTGATGAAATCAGTGATGGTCAGCATGCCTAGAGGCCAAGATAAGAGCCCTCAGCACTGCTCAAAGCTTCTCTCCCTGCCCAGCACAAGATGCCAGTAAAACTGTGTTCCAACAACTTCTGCTTACCCACAAAGCTTTGCTTCTTACTATCCCACAAAGGGGCAGCTCGGACACCATTAGTCACCAAAGCAAAGAAAGCTTTCTTCACCTGTAGTGAAAGAGTAACAGTCACAGAGGAAAATTCCCAGGGGGCAGGATTTTAACAGAATAGGAATTGGGTATGCTGGGGAAAACATGAGCCTAACCCCATAGAAGGACAAGGGTATTAGCCTTGGGATGAGGTAGGATGAGAGGTATTGAACCAGCGGCTCCAAGGAAGGGGGAAGGGAAAAGAGGATTTCACCTACCTGAAGGGAAGTATCAAATACAACCAATTTTGAGCTTGTGGGAATCAGGTCATAGCAGCGATGAGACTTCATGAAGGAAGTATACACGCTATTGTTGGATTCTGGAGTCTCTGCATAGGGTGGGACAGTTAGTAGCTTCCTTCCATGCAACAACTCACAATCAAAAGAGGCAGAAAATAAAAGTATTGTAATTGCTCAAGTATTTACAGCATGATTTTATAAGGCCCCCTATTCTGTTTTGTTCCTATTGTTCCCACAAAACCTGGATAAACCCCTTCGAAACCATTTCATCCAACCCCACCCCCAGGTAGAACTATATAATCTATTGGCTCCTTAGCCAAAAGATGGCTGACTAAAACAGAAAGTCTGTAATACTTTCACTAACCTATTCTAGTCTAAAAGCTTTTTTTCTCATCCTTAACTCATTTTCCTTTTCATATATTTAGCACATTTTCACTTGTTCTCTTTTCTCAATTCAGATGTAATTAAGCTTCTTAAAAATCCACGTAAACTTCTTAAAATTCTTCTAAGACCCACAGATGAGAAAGTCATGGCCCAAGTTGGGCCATTTCAGAACAACACTAAGTTACAGCCCAGTGCTCAATCAACCTGGCCCCAAACAACCTGAGAGTCCATCTTGGGATGACCGTGTGAATCAGAAATCAACCCATCTACTCTAGACAAATGAGAGACCCTGGCTGGGTTTACCTTTCCATTCCCCTGATTTTAACTGCTTGCTCTCAACTGGAGAAGCAAGCCCCAAAATAATAGCCCAAATGTGCTACATAGTATGCTATGCGTACTTAAAAATATTGCACCATCTAATCTGCAAGGCAAATAACTACTGCCCTCATTTTTCAGCTGAGAAAACAGGTGGAAAGCAGCAAAAAAAAAAAAAAAAAAAACTGCTCAAGGTCATACCATTAGTAACAAGAAAGACTCAAACATGGATCTACCTGATTCCAAAGTTCACGCTCTTAAATCCTATGCCAGTTGTTTGTTTTTAATTTTTTACCAAAGTTATACAGGTACACAGTTTAAAGAGTCAAATACTTCTACAAATTTTGTTAAGAAAAACTGCAGTCCCTAGCACCCACCTCCCTGTACGACCCCTCCCCAGAGATGAGACCTCTTTTAGCTGAGTATTTTGGTACTTATTTCTATGTCTATAAATAACATGCTTATATTGCTACTTTTTTTGTTCACTTTTAGGCATTAACTATTATCATGCAAGGAAGATGAGAGGCATTATCTATTATCATGCAAGGAAGATGAGAATTTTCAATTCTCTTTACTACCAGGACCCCATTATAAACATGCACCTCCCATCACTCCGTTCTCCCAGAAGTTAAACTGTACGGTTGGTTACATCAGTATTTAAATAATTTTGACTAAATATTCATTATTCAGAGCTAAGTCAAGTAGTAAAGTCTGATTTTTTTTTTCTTTCACAACTTTTTGTTTTCCTTGGAGTTAATAACTGTCTTGTCTTTTTGTTTGCTTAGTTCTCTATGCATAATACTTATAACTAATTCAATCCCCAAACTCTTTACCAATTGTTTAAATCTCCTTTCAAGAAGTTCAGAAGCATGAGATAGTCTAACAATTTAAACTACCCGAAGAAGTCTCTCTGGAGCCTTCTGACCTGCTCAGATCTGGGCTGGTGTGCCTGGTGTGCACTGCTGTCATCCTTAGATCTTCCTTCATCACCATCCAGGGGAGCCCTTTCACGTCTCTCCTGTACTGGCACTCCTGTGTCCTGTATCCCATGTTTTCATCTTTTTTGATTACTCCCTTGTTTTGGTGGAGCACATCTTCCAGTAGCTTCCTGAGAAAGGGTGCATGGGAAGTAAATTTTTTGAGACCTTGTAGCCTGCAGATATCTTTATTTTACCCTCATCTTTGAATTATAATTTGGCTGGATATAGAATTCTAGGTTGGAATTTATTTTCCTGCAGAATATTGAAGCCACTGCTTCATTGCCTTCCAGCTTCTGGTGCTGTTGAGAGTCCGGAGTCCCAGGCAATTCTGATTCTTTGTGCGTGACTTGTTTTTTTCTCTTTGGAAACTCAGGATCTTCTCTTTGTTCCCAGTGTTCTGAAATCTCATGACGATTGTGCTTTGGGTGGGACAATTTCACCCATTGTGCTGAATATTCAATGAGTCCTTTCAACATGAAAACTAATGTTCTTCAGTTCCAGGAAATGTTCTTGAATTACTTCCTTGATTGTTTCCTTCCCTCTGTGTTGTCATTTTTCTCTTTCTGTAACTCCTATTATTTAGATATTGGACTTCCAAAAACTGACCCTTTAAGGTTTGTTTTTGTTGTTGTTGTTTTTAAAATACAGTAGTCCCCCCCTTATCCAAGGTTTCACTTTCCACAGTCTCAGTTATCCGTGGTCAACACTAGTCTGAATATTAAATGGAAAATTCCAGAAATAAACAATTCATATGTTTTAAATTGCACGGCATTCTGAGCAACATGATGAAATCTCTTGCCATTAAGCTCAGTTCCAGCCCTGGGCGTCAATCGTCCCTTTGTCCAGCATATCCCGCCCGTTAGTCACTTAGTAGCCATCTCAGTTATCAGATTGACTGTCACTGTATCACAGTGTCTGTGTTCAAGTAACCCTTATTTTACTTACTAATGGCCACAGAGCACAAGAATAGTGATGCTGGCAATTCGGATATGTAAAACTGAAGCCCCAAAGTGCTTCCTATAAGTGAAAAGGTGAAAGTTCTTGACTTAATAAGGGAAAGAAAAAAAATCATATGCTGAGATCTATGATAAAAATGAACCTTCTGGACTTCCCTGGTGGCACAGTGGTTAAGAATCTGCCTGCCAAGGCAGGGACATGGGTTCAACCCCTGGTCTGGGAAGATCCCGCATGCCACAGAGCAACTAAGTCGGTGTGCCACAACTACTGAGCCTGCGCTCTACAGCCCGTGAGCCACAACTACCGAGCCCATGCACCACAACTACTGAAGCCCGCACGCCTAGAGCCTGTGCTCAGCACCAAGACAAGCCACCGCAATGAGAAGCCCGCATACTGCAACGAAGAGTAGCCCCTGCTCGCCGCAACTAGAGAAAGCCTGCGTGCAGCAACGAAGACCCAACGCAGCCAAAAATAAATAAATAAAGATAAAATGTTAAAAAAAAAAAGAATCAGCATAAACACAATTCACTGATAAAAAAAAAAAAGAATGAATCTTCTATCTGTGAAACTGTGAAGAATGAAAAAGGAATTCATACTAGTTTTGCTGTCACACCTCCAACTGCAAAAGTTATGGGGTCAGTGTGTGATAAGGGCTTAGTCAAGATGGAAAAGGCATTAAATTTGTACAATAAGATATTTAGAGGCAGACAGACCGACCAACCCCATTCACATAACTCTTAATATATGTTATAACTGTTCTATTTTATTATTACTGTTGTTAATCTCTTACTGTGCCTAATTTGTAAATTAAACTTTCATAGGTATGTATGTATGTATAGGAAAAAAAATAATATATACAGGGTTTCACAGTATCTGCTGTTTCAGGCATCCACTGGGAGTCCTGGAATGTATACCCCGAGGATAAGGAGGTACTAACTACTGTATCTTTTCTCTCCTACTTTCCTCTTCTTTGATTTTTTTTTCTTTTCCTTTATAGTTTATTACAAGATATTGAATACAGTTCCTTGTGCTATACAGTAGGACTTTGTTGTTTATCTATTTTATATATAGTAGTTTATATCTGTTAATCCCATACTCCTAATTTATCCCCCTCCTTTCTCCTTTGGTAACCATAAGTTTGTTTTCTATGTCTGTGAGTCCACTTCTTTGATTTCTAATTCTACTTTATGAGAGATTTCTTCAACTTGATTTTCCACACCTCCTACTTAGTTTAAAATTTTTGCTATTATATTTTTAATTTCCAAGAGCTCCTTTTTTGTTTTCTGAAAACTGCTTTTCTTAAAAAAATTACTTCCTGTACTTGTTTCATGGTGGAAATATTCTTTATCTGAGTATGCATTAATGTTAATTTTTTAAATTTATTTTTAATAAATTTATTTATTTATTTACTTTTGGCTGCATTGGGTCTTTGTTGCTGCGTGCGGGCTTTCTCTAGTCGTGGTGAGCAAGGGCTACTCTTCATTACGGTGCGTGGGCTTCTCATTGTAGTGGCTTCTCTTGTTGCGAAGCATGGATTCTAGACACGCGGGCTTCAGTAGTTGTGGCACGCCGGCTCAGTAGTTGTGGCTCACAGGCTCTAGAGCGCAGGCTCAATAGTTGTGGCGCACCGGCTTATCTGCTCTGCAGCATGTGGGATCTTCCCGGACCAGGGATCGAACCCGTGTCCCCTGCACTGGCAGGCAGATTCTTAATCACTGTGCCACCAGGGAAGTCCATTAACGTTAATTTTTAAAGTTCTCTTCTCTATGCATTGACTTTTCCCTTCTGTTGCTTTTTTTCCTGTTTGTTTGTTTTTTTCCATTTGTGGGGGGCAGTTTGGATCACTTTTTTCAAGTTACAGGCTTTCTTTAGATGTCTAGTAATCCTTGGTTTAAAGGAGGATTCAAACCATATTTTAAGAGTGGAGTCTTTTTTTTTTTTTTTTTTGCGGTACGCGGGCCTCTCTACGCAGGCCTCTCACTGTTGTGGCCTCTCCCGTTGCGGAGCACAGGCTCCAGATGCGCAGGCTCAGCGGCCATGGCTCACGGGCCCAGCCACTCTGCAGCATGTGGGATCTTCCCGGACTGGGGCACGCACCCGTGTCCCCTGCATCAGCAGGCGGACTCTCAACCACTGCGCCACCAGGGAAGCCCAAGAGTGGAGTCTTTAGAGCTGATTAGAAGCTCTATGTCTGTAAATGAACCTTGTTGACGGTGAACCATTTAGATGGGGAACACTCAATACTTACATCTATAGGGCTTTCCCCTCAATGGGATTCTGAAGAGAAGGATTATTCATGCAATTTTGTGCTTGGAGGATGAAGTCTTTTCTATTAGCACTCTGAAAACCGAATGGGGGAAAAGGGCTGGGGTCTCAGCATCCAGTATAGTTCACTTCATGCTCCTGTTTTCAGCGCAGTACCTCTGCCTTCAACTGGGCCGGCGCCCCTTTCCATACCTCCAGTCTTTGCCAAAGTTGGGATGGGAGTTTCCCAGCTGCACTGAGTGGGGGAGGGAGTCTTGGGATCTGACTGCTTCTTAGACCTTCAATGCTTTTGGGCTTTCCTCACTGCTAGTTTATAATTCAGTTTTCTCAGGTCTGCTAAGTCACTTACCACACTTCTGTCTGCTTTCCAGCTTCCAAAAATTCATTGCTATTATCTCTCTCTTGTTCTCCCTATTCTGATGGTTTGTACCTTTTAAAAAAAATTCCTTCATGGTTTTAGTGGCTTTTTGTGAAGGAGCGAAAGTAGATGCATGTATTCAATCCACCATCTTTAACTGGAAGGCCACCATTGTTCCTCAAATTTGAAAACTCACAGACTCCCAAGAAGACTCCCATGTCTTTTGACACCAGTTTAAGACATGCTACACTGATAGTTAAATACCACCATTCCAGGCTACAGGCCTACAAACATACTTGACTTGGTTTTCCCAGGATTTTTAAAATAATTTAAATCAGTTGCCCAATTTAAAAAATCTGGAGATTTACATAAAAATCCAAACTCTCAGTTTCTTTTCATAATCAGAAGATCTTACAAAAGTAGGTTGTGAATTCCCAAATAGTAGCAATTGACCAGACCTGGATAGTTGCTGCCTCCTTTTAGATGCAACGAGATCTACAGGTTATTGTAGTCATACGCAGCTCACGTCACTGCTTGATCCATGGAGACAATTTGAGTGTCTTACCCCTGCCTCAGTTGGTGCTAATGTGAATGCACTCAGAAACACAAAATGAGCACTGATATCATGGGGCAGTACTCAATTATGAAGAATCATCTAGGTAATTCAAAATATGACTATATTAACTTTTTTGGATACCAACAACATGAAAACAGAACATTTAAAAAATTCTTGTGGAGAATTCACGGACCTTTAATAATATGTCCTAGGATCTCATCCCATATTTCAATCCTCTGAGAAAGTGTGTACTCCTAATGCCATAAACATGTCCTAGGAAGACTAGGAGTGTTCCTGGGCAAAATTCTTTACCAGAGATGCCTATAAATTTTGCTTCTTTCTAGATGACCTAGGGTTGGACCATTCCATTCTAACCAAGTATTTGGGCAGGTGCTGGAATTGCCTTCTCCTGTGCCCTGAATTTTAGGGTTTAGTGCCTCTATTTCTAGATTAGTTCTAAGGGTTTCAAGTCCCTTCTATAATTTCTTGTGTATACTCAGTGGTCTTAGTGAGATCGCTGTATGATGAAATCCTAGTGGCTTTGTTTCTGGGCTACTCAGAACATACCAGGGATTTTTTAATTTTGCAGCATCAACTCATTTATTCATTCACTATTCTTTCTTTTTTTCTTTTTTGGCCGCACGGCATGTGGGACCTTAGTTCCCCAACGAGGGATGGAACCTGCACCCCCTGCATTGGAAGCACAGAGTCTTAATCACGGGAGCACCAGGGAAGTCCCTATCAGGGACTTCTAAACCATGGTTAGCCAGCCCAGAGTTGCCTATGGAAGTTTTCCCCGTACCTCAAAAGTTTCTCTCAAGTGGTATGACAACTGAGGATATTAATCATTCTCACCCTGCCCAAGATTTATTCCTAGGTGATCTTGCCAAATTATTGTTCCTGACTTATGTGGTTTGGCACATTATCTGGCCCAGCTTTGATCTTCCCAGGGAAGACTTCGGGAGAAATTCAAAAGCACTGATGAAGACAAATTAGGATTGGGCTACTGGTATGAAACTGGTTTTCATACCAGTTTCCTTTCTTCAGTAAACTTACCTTGAGGGTGCTCATTTTCCAGAGCTGAGTAGTTATCTGAAGAAGTGACCTGGAGAGACAGAGGAACAAAGATTCAGCCTATCTTAGGCTCCATCCATTTGAGCCTAGCAACATTAGGGAAAGGGCTGGTTAACTAATGACTTCCTTGTCCTTCAGAAATATTATCTCATTTAATCTTTATAATAACCCTGAGGTGAATACTATTATTAGCCTTATTTTCACAGATTAGGAAACTTAGGTTCAAGAAATATTAAGCAACCTGCCCAAGGTCGCATGGCTGGCAAAGGGTGGAATGGGGATCTGAATACAGATCTGTGCTGTTCCAAAGCTCATGCCCTTATATACTACCTTGCCTAATGAAACATTAGGTCTTAAAAGCTGAGACTAGAAAATATGAGCTTAAGGTTGGCCCCACAACACTCTCACAGACCTATTTTATAAAAATATGGAAGCCAGAGAGACAATACTGCTTTCCCCCAAACAGTCACTAAGCGTAGTTGTGGGCACCTGAGTCACTGACGTACCCCTTACCATGAGAGGGAGCCACATCTGGGGAGGATCCCAGCAGCTGACTACCAGAAAGAGTCAAAGTTTGAATGACTGAGGGGTAGATAAGAAGGATAAATGTTCTGAAACTAGGGAACCGAGTCCTCTCAGCACCCTTGTGAGTCAAAGGCTGCTATAGCCCAGAGGGTGCTGGTTTTCCAAGTTTCCTTGTTCATGACAGTCTGAGATTAGAAAGTGCTTTGAATATAGAGAAACCTTCAGAACCATCTCTGTGCTCCCTCAAGTGGGAACATTTGGAAATTTCATTGTTATCTAGGAACCCAGGAGAGATCATGATAATTTTTGTCGGCTGGAATCAACAGTTTTGCCTCTATTTTGCTCTGTCTGGGTAATATCCCCAAACTAACTTAAAGTCATACTTTACCTCCACAGCTGCTGTAGTAACATGAAGTTAAAGGCCTTGGCTTGACGCTGGGAGGTTGGCTGGTAAACAGGGTCAAGTTGGCAGGACAGCCCTAAACTTCCCTCCTCTAATGGGCCAGGGTGTGGGCAGGGGATAATCTCCCTCTCTTCTGTCTGGGCAGCATAAGGCTATCAGCATGGCCCGGCATTTTGGCAAAACTATCGGAACAACAGCCTCATCACTTCTAAGTGGGAAAGAGGTCTGTTTAGCAGTAAAGCAGTCTTACAAAGATCTATACAGAGACACAGAAACAGCTACTTCTGTAGAAATTATTGTACCCAGCGTATGATACCTATTTACTGCACTGTGCTACAGTTACTTTGTTCGTTATCTATCCAAACAGACTGTAAATTCCTGGAAGCCTGGAACTATCACACAGGTCTTTGTATCACTCCCTCATACCACGTAGCATGGGGGTTTGCATATAACTCTCAACTGTTTTGTTTTTTAACTCTCAAATTGATAATGATACACACTGATATGAACAGAGAGACCTAAGATTACGTTACAGAGAGAGAAAAGAGACATACAGCTAAACAGAGACACAGATACCTACATAAGAGAGTCAGACACAATTGAATATGACTTTATCTTTCTGCCTGTTTCTCCACACAGGAGTGGGATAATTATGTCCACTCTCTCTACACTTAATAACATAGGGGACTTGTGCAAAATACTACTTTCAGAAACACACCCTAGATCTGACACACAGACTCACAATTTCTTCCAAACTCCTGATCCACATTCTCAGTTGTTTGCTGGACCACCACAGATGTCACAGAGACTCCTCAAATGCTTCAATACAAAACAGAACAGCATCTGTCCCTCCAATCCTATTATTCTTACTGTGGGTCCCACCTTTGTTTTTGCACTGCTGTCTTCCCCTGATGCCTAGAACTGTGGTCTTGATTCCTCCAAGAACAAGCTATGCCAACATGTCTGCTTAGAATGACAGAGCAGGGCGCGACCTAAACTCGTCCTTAACATTATCAGCTAAGCTGCTATGTTAGAAATGCCTCAAAGCCATCTCTCTCCTTTCCACTTTCACAGCTTTAACTTAGCCTTTTACATCCCACTTCTACAGCATTCTCTAAGCTGGTCTCCCCGCCAGTTTAGAGAAGAGGAAGTCTAGTTCCTCTTCAATTTGTCTTTCATGCTGTCACCAAGTTCCCTCACCAAGCATCTCAGGTTTGGAAGGGACTTTCAACTCCAGCAACCAAGACCTCACTACTCTGAAGCAGCTTCATCCATTTACAGAAAGCCGTTAGGAATATTCCTAAAGTACACTCACTACCTTGCTCATGAATCTTCCATGGGTCCTCTTATTACAAAACCAAGTTCAGACTTAATGTGGTATGCAGTATCTTCAACCTGACCCCAGCCTACTTCTCCATTCTCCAGCCATTTCTCCAACTGTGACCAAAATCCAAAGCTCCGGCAACATCAAGCCACTGGCTCACCCCAATTAATCTCTACATGCCCCAGTTTCTATGCCCTTGCTCACACTGTTCTCTCAACCTGCAATGCCCTCTCGTGGGCTGACAGCAATTTCTCCCTCCTCTATGCTGCCACGGTCCTTTTTCTGCATCTTGATGCTAGCATTTATTACAGTCTACCTTAAATAACAGCTGTCACTGACTTGCCCTCACCCCCACTCCGGTTAGGCTAAGCATTTTCAAAGCAGGAGTTTTCCTTTTTCTTTATTTTATTCAATTAATTAATTTATTTATTGGTCAAGACACGTGGCCTGCGGTATCTTAGTCCCCCCACCGGGGATCAAACCCAGACCTGGCAGTGAAAAGGCTGAGTCCTAACCACTGGACCGCCAGGGAACTCCCTTTTTTTTTTTTTCTTTTCAAAACTATTTCTATTCCAAAAACCTAATCCAGTACATAAAGTATGAGGGCTAAATTAGAAAACCTATATTAAAATGCTTTGTAAACCATAATATATTTATAAGTAAGTAAAAAATAATGTTATTTTGAATTTAATGGAATCAGAACTTTCATTCTCGTTCAAAATTCTCTTAATCTGTAAGAACTTACTCCCTTGCCTGGGTGACCAGCTGCAAATCGTTTTACCACTTTGGTCTGGTTTCTTCTTTATAACCTTAGGGACATGACCTCTCCGCAGGCAAACAAAGGGTACAGTAAGGGAATGACCCTGGGCGTGTAACTGATCCAAAGAGAGGTGAACCTGCAGTCCTCACACAACTACAGTAGCAGATGGTAAAAACCAAGGTAGTTAGAGTTACTCTGCCTGACAAAGGATACATGGAGGGAAGTGAATGGGCACGGTTCCAGAGTACTAGACAAAGGCTCCTGAGAGTGAGGATGGGTCCAAACAGGTAGTAGGCAACCTGCAGCAACTCTGGGAGGATGACAGGGACCTGCCACAATCCGTCAATGCGTGCCTGCCAAGAAGGAGCTATGCCAACACACCTGCTTAGAATCGCAGAGCAGGGCGTGACCTAAACTAGATCAGGGACACAGTGGCCTCTAACACTGAAAGGCTCCCCCCTTCGGGGAAACCCCACTTTTCAGTCTCATTAAGGGTATGTTACCTCGCTGGACACCTCAATGCAGTATAAAAGTCTTTCAGACGTCCCTCCTGCCAAGGACTGCATGAATCACACTCACACAACTGGGGACCAGGTGCTACCTGCAAGCGGGGGTCCCTCGGAACCCCCTGCTTCACCCAGGAAAGCTGGCTCACAACCCTTCTCTCTCAGGCAAACCTCTGAAGGGCTCGAGGCGCTAAAAGGAAAGGAAGCCCGATATCGCCAAGGCGTGCGTAGGTTCCAAGGAGGGAGCTAGGAGTCACTGCCCGCTCGGGCTAAAAGTACCACGGACCGAAGGCAGGCACGGGCGCGGCCCAGTCCTAGGAGATGCACTCAGCGAAGGAGCGGAGGGGCAGGGTCACGGGATAGGACAGACACCCTGCTTCTCGGTTACTGGGCACCAGCGCCGGCCCCAGCCTCCCCGTCCCCTGACGGCGGGGGTGGGGGTGGGGGTCTCAAGCTCCACAGCGCCCTCCCGCAGCCCTCCCGCGCTCCTCACCGCTTCCATCGCGACAGACGCCGGCTGGGTTCGTTCGTTTTAGGAAGCTTGCCCGGGGCGGGAGGCGGGGAAGGTCCCGCCCCACGTCCGGTACCGCGACGCCGCTTCCGCCTACGTCAGGACTGACGCAAGCCAAGGGCGGAAGGCCAGGAGCTGACCCTTCCGGCGTGGCCTGGCCTCCAAAACCGCCCTCCCCCCAGTCCTCCCGCACCTCACGGATCCCACCGACGGCGAGGGTGACGGGACGGAGCCGCTTGTATTTAAAATGTTCTTTTTTTATTTGTCGTTTAAAAACAAACTTGGAAGAAGCAAAATCCAAAACTTGCCCTTTGCCTCTTGCAACATAAATTATGTACAGTTCAGAATGATCGCTGATACAAAACATGCCAAGGACAGGGGCGCTGGGGGTGGAGGGAGAGAGGGCGCTTTAAAAAAGGGAATCATTTCATCCGTTGTTACGAAGGACCAACCTTGCTGTACAGGATACACACAACACAAAATAAAGTCTTCACGGGATTCACACTTGTCAGAGATTTATTTTTTAAAAAGGGGGAGGGAGGGTCCTGGAGGTGAGGGGAGAAGACCGTAAAGGGGAAAAACTGAAAATTGAATATGTGCAAGTGTAAACCAACCCAAAATACAAACATGGGGCACGGGGAAGGGCGGGGCGGGGGAGAGGGAATTCTGATGCAATTATACAGGCGGGGTACTTTAAAAAAAAAAAAAAAAAAAAAACCAACAACCAAAATTCCAACCTTGTAGCTTGGGTCTGAGTTAGTTTATATAAAAATTAAAAACTGTATAAGGTTTCTTCACTAAATTCTACAGGACTATCAGATACCTAGCATATGCTTACAAAGTCTGCCCCATCCCCTTTTCCCAATCCCAGGGCCCAAGCCCCAACCAGAGCCTGACTCGCAGGAGCCAATCTCCCCCTCCCTGTAGCCTAGACCTTCTTTGCTCTTGGAAAAGGAACATCCAATGGCTTCGGGGGCAGCAGCCCAGTCTCCCCACTGTCTGATTTAACTGCAGTGGTTTCCGCGGGGCTGAGGGGATGTTATTCTCTTAAACATTTGCAGCTTGAAACAGTTGAGGAAGCAGCTTAAAAAAAAAAAAAAAATCTCCCTACCCCCATCAATCCGCAACCCCCCAAATTCGAAAACAAACAAAAACAAACCTAAAATCACAACAGCAACCGTGCTCCCCCTCCAGCAGGCCCGCCCATACACCACCACCAAGCCCACCCCTACACTCCAGACATTTGATTCTTGAAAATATTAATTACAAAATGCCCTTTGCCCACAGCCCCTAGGAGAGAACTGCATATAAGCTTCATCTTCATCCCCATGGCTCCCTACCAGAGAGGGGTCTGGGGCCTCACCCACCCCCTGACCTAACCCTACCCCCAGGAAGAGGTTCAACTGCAGCACAAGCTTGGGCAGAAAGGGGAAGGACAGGGGAGGAGGCAGGGGAACCCATTACCCTCTGGCTCCCCCTGGGGCCAGCTCACTTTTGTGCGTTATAACATAGTCCAACTATACAAAAGGGGGTGGGAGTCGCCCAGCCTCTATACCCCCCCCTTACAGCAGTCACAGCCAGGGGGTGGGGAGGAGGGGGTGAGGAAAAGGGCGGTAGGTTGGGTAATGGAGGGGGCTCCCCCACAAGGGGAGCTCCATGTGTCCGCCCCACGCCCCCCTACCATTTATAAACTGGTTTTGTAAAAAGAAAATAGATATATTTATATAGAATATATAAAGCACAAAAATTAGTAGTTTTACATTTGCTCTCCCCGGGGGTGGGGGGAGAGGGGAGGGTTCTCACCTCCAGCCGGCTCCCCCATGCCCCACAAGACTATGTACAATCCCATGTATAAATAGATAAATACCCCCCACCCTCCCCGCGCTGACACTAAGCTCCCCCAGCCCCACATCACCACCCCTTCCCACCAGACCAGCAGCAGTTTGGTGACGGAGGGAAAGTGGGAGCTCCGGGCCACACCCTGCCTCACTGGGTATGGGCATGCCACTCAGGGATAGCCCTCACCCTACCACCCACCCACCCTATCCGGGGGCTGGAGGGCAAATGGGCTCATGATGGGGTTGGGAAAACCGGAGGGAGATATCCTGGTCCTAAGTTTAGCACACCCCTCCTGCCCCCATGTCCAGATGGAGAAGGAAGTCCTAGAGCAACTAGGGGCCAGTCATCCCCAATCTTCATCATCATTAGTCTCAACCACCATCCCGTGCCCGTAATTAAAAACAAAGATGGATTTTTTGTTGTTGTTTTTTCTTCTTCCTCCTACCCCCCCTTCCACCCACTCAGAAGAGGGCAGTGAGGTGGGGGAGAGGGATGGGGCAGTAGGGGGCTTGGAGAGGGTCTCACATTTCAAAACAGCAAAAAATCCAACACTTAAATGAGGTAGGTGTGGGTGCGGGGTCTCCTTGCCCGGCTTGCCCGGCTTGCCCTCCTGGGCAGCGGGGCGCCTCTTTCCCGTTCATGTTGCATTTGTCAGAGTGGAAAACAAGGAAACACAACCCATAGAGAGACAGAAACACAGAGGAGAAGAGGGAGACAGAGACAGATTGAGAGGGAAGGGGATGGGGGTGAGGGTGGGGGCAGGACCCGGCAGGCAGGGCCAGGTGTGGGACCCGGCCTTTGGGATTGTCAAGCTTAGTCAAGTCTCTTTGCAGCCTCGAGTTGGGCCAGAGAGGTCGGTGGGAGCAGCAGGGCTGTGAGGCCCGGCCACACATCCTCCTCCCCCCTCCCTGCTGCCTCCCAGATGCTTCTGGGTAGTTCCCAGCCCATATCCCCCTCAAACCTGAGATGCCCAGTGGCTGCTTCTGTCTGACCCCTCCTGGAGCTGGGGGCAGAGATGCCAGCCTGGGGGCCAGTGGCGGGGAAGAGGGTCATCCCTGGTGCCCAGGGTGGGCGTGGCCTAGGGCCCTCTGCCCCAGCCTCCTGCTCCAGGGGCTCCGGTCAGCCGGCAGCCCCAGCCCTGGGTCCTGGCTCTGGCTGCTACCTCTCTTCCCCCTCATCCCTTTCAGGGAAGAGGTTGGGGTGGGGGACTCCCCTGCCTGGTAGCCTCAAAGCTTCTTAGTTCATCCATTTCCGACAATTCCAGGCTCCACAGTGGCAGGGGATCTTGTGCTGATCGTCCTCAAAATCAAACTGATAGTCATATGTCAGCTGGAAAGAGAAGAGGGCAGAATCAATGCCAGTCCCCCAGAGGAAGTGCGGGAGGGCAGTGGCCTTGGATTTTGACTTGCGGCAAATGGCAGAGAAGAGGGAGCTGCTTTGTCACTCACTGAGGGATGCTTCCTCTTACCTCCTCTCCTTTGGGGATTCGCCGGCTGGAGATGATGATGATTTTGTCCTCCTTGTCAAATGTCACAACTTCCGCCACACAGTTAGGGGCACAGGAATGGTTAATGTACCTAGGCAGTGGGACAAAGTCAGAAACGCCGAGCAACTGGGTTGGATGGTTCTGGTTCCCTGTTGGCCCACCCCCAGGATGCCACCCTCGGGGACTCTTAAATCCCTTCTTACTCATCCCTCTCTCACCTGGCAGGGCCTCCGGTCAACGTAGCATCAATGACATGTTCGTTGTTTATTCGAAACATGTAGATGCCTCGATTCTAGAAAGGCAGAGGTTGCAGAGGAAGGGGCAAGAATATCAGAGAACGGCAGCGGCGGTGGCGAGATCAAGGAGTGGACTTGGGCAGTGGGCTTCTCTTCATTTCCTATTCTTCCGTTCTCCTGCCTCTCCCCTCCTCTTCCCACAGCTTTCCACCTGCTCCTCTGGCCCCAATCCTGCCCCTTGCCCCTTGGCTAAGTGTGGACCACCACACACCATGATGGCCCCTCTGCCAGCCCATACCTGCTCCTCATAGATTTTCTCCCGCCGGTTGGCCACCTCATTGCGAATGATGGTGCCAATGTACTCAATGACCATTGTGTGCTTTTCTAGGTCCTTGGCCGCATAGAGCCCCAGGCCCTGGATACGGGAGCGAGCCAGATATACATTGTTCTTCCACTCAGTGCGGAGCCGCCGGTACTGAGATGACTTCGAGTGCACAAACTGTTTGCTGTACGGGGTGTTGGTCTCGCCTGTGAAGGTGCTCTGATATGCCTTGGACATGCTGGTGCTGTTCAGAGTGTGGGGCCTGGGAGGTGATATAGTCCATGACAAGACAGCTCTCCCCCAGACCAGGCACACGCCACCCGCTTCCTCCCTGGGTTGTGCAACGCTCCAGTTAGGGGCACTTGCTGCCTTGGGAATGGAGTAGAGGCATCTGAGTCTTGGCCTTGGTGAGGCAGCAACTAGCTATGGGGACCCTTCCAACAGCCTGGGTGGCAAAGAAAGCCCAGGATGGGGGGTGGGGTGGGGCATGGAGGAAGGGAAGGGGCACTGATTCCCCTACACTGAGCCCGCTCTCCCATCTCCCCACCTTCTACCACCCTCCTGCCAAACCAGACTCAAGGCTATGCTCAAGGCCTCTGGGAGCTCTTCCCCAAGCAGCCCAGGCCTGGAATTTAAGCTCATCATTTGTTCAAATATCTGAGTCCTACTTCCTGCTCATACTGGAAGCTCTGAAAATGGGGGCCATGTCTACCACATTGGGCTGGATTTTAATTAAAATTGGCTCTGAATTCATAGCCAAAAGGTAGCATCCTTTCCTTTCTTTAGACTGTCCTCTTCTCTGACGTAACGTTGGGCTCTGTGCAGATGGCTCAGTGCAGGGGAATGACTGCTGCCTAGGAGGATGCCTGTTCACCACCCTAGGGCACCAGCCAAATTCTTGCCCACCCCAGAGCAGTGGTTTTCAAACTGGCTCTTTTTTTATACAGAAGAAATCTTTTTGTTTTTTTCTTTAACAAAACATTACCGGAACTCCCATACATAAACTAGATGGAAAAGGAACTCTTCTGGTTGAATCCAATTTGGGGAAGGGGGAGTTATTATGCATGGAGAGGGCCAAGTTCTGCCTACTCAGTTTATGTGTTCCAGGGCTTTCTGGAACACGCACAGTTTGAAAACCACTGTTGTAGAGCATCAAGGACCAGGGCTGGCTGCGGTAGAGTTTGACGCTCTACAACAGCCTGAGGAGCAACCGAAGGCCTTCAAGAAAGCCCTCCTAGCGTGGATTTTGCCTCCCTCTACCCAGGGACCAAGGTCAGCCTACTGCGGTACACAGCAAGAACAGTGGACCACAAGTCAAGAGGTACGGCTCTGGTCCCAGCTGTGACCTTTGTCTAGTCACTTAAATCTTTCTGGGTCTCAGTTTTCTCAGCTGTAAAATGGGGATCATACCACCTGCCCTACCTACCTCATAAGGTTGTTGTGAGGATCAAATGAGATAATGGATGTGAAAACGCTTTGAAAAAAAAAGTATAAAGTGCTATACAAATGTAAGGTTTTATTATTTTTCCTATTATATTCCTAATTATTTATTTTTGACACCAACTCAGTCTGGGGAAGGGAAGGCGAACCTAGCACTCAGGGGGCGTCTGTCTGAGGTTTGGGAGAATCACAATCCCCCTGGAAGCAAAACAGGAAAGGAAGGTGGCGACTGGGCCGTTTATACATTTCATATGATTTCACCACGGTCTGCCCAGAACCTCCCCAACGGCCATTCCCAGAGCGCCCAAGATAAGTCTATGTCTAGACTGCAGGTCAACCCAGAATGCCTGAGCAGGCTCGGGGAGGAAAGGGATACCCTAGTGATACCTGCGCACCCTCTAATCAGGAGGCCTAGAGTGAACCCCCAGTCTCTCCAAGGGAACTCTGATCTGTAACCCCAAACACTTGTAATTGGCCAGAGGGTCCCTACCAACCCCCCACAAGCTCACCGTTTGTAGTGTGTGAGGATTTTAGGCTCTGATCGAGCACAACCAGTGGGGTTGATCATGAGTGGCAGCTCCATCAGGGGGTGGCGTCCATAGCGGAATAAATAATTTTGACAGCTTTCCACTCCAGGCAGCTGTGGGCACAGGTCATGCTCACTTTAGCCTGAGCACTTCTGGGGCAGAACCAACCTTCCCCACGCCCACCTGCCCCCACCCCTGGCCCCTTCCTTACTGATTCAGCTATGCGCAGCACAGCGTGCACGGTCAGCCCAAAGAGCTCCTCGCCTTTCAGGTACTCAGGGAAGAGCCGCAGCATGTCAGCCTCTTTTCTCATGGCAGCCACAGGCTCAATGATGCGATTCCACACAGCTAAGAGGCAAGGAAAGAGAGCAGCCCTCAGAGGCAACTTCTGCTCACTGACCTCGGCCCTAACCTCCACCTGAAGCTACATTTGCTGTCAGAAGGGTGTGTGGTTCTTCAGGAGCCCCTCTTGGCCTCCCAATCTCAGTCTCCCTCAACAAGCCAGGAGGCTTCCCACCCTGGAGGGGCATCAGAGAGCCTTGTGACACAGAAACATGAACCCAGGGCCCAGGATACCCAGCACAGGCATGTTTTGGAGTTGAGAAGACTTGGGTTCAAGTTCTAATATTGGCCATGGGACCTTAAGGCCAATACTTAAATCTCTCCACTACTCGGTTTCTCTATGTGTAAAACTTGGCATAATAAGAGTGCTCGGCTTGCAGGGTTTTGTGTGAACAAAATAACCCGTATAAATCACTCAGCTTAGTTTATGGCACACAGCACATGCTCACTACAATGTAACTCTTACTGTTACTTTTATCAGTAACACTGAAACTAAGATCAAGATCTTATCCAGGGAAAAGCAACCATAAGGAACTCAAGGCTAGAATCAGATTGGGTGAGCTGGAAGACGGAGTCTCAGAACTGTATCCTTTAGATCCACTGAGTTAGTGGATACACTGACATACGTGTAGTCAGACAAGCAAAATACCCTCAATCACAAGGGAATTCAAGGTGACTGAGCGGTCAAAACACTTTCTCTGGAGATCTTCAAGAGACCTCTGCCTGCCCTAAGTGGGAGAGAAAGATCACTCATGAGGAGCCTGCGGGTCTCTTCTCAACACCGTAAAGGGGACGCTGGGAGACACTTGCCCAATTCCGTATTACCACTTCAAGGGCCCCGTGCTCACCCTGGGGAGAGGCGTCAGTGAAGACCAGGTCCTCCAGGCCCTGCTCCATGACTTTGATCACAAACTCCGGCCGCCCGTTGTTCTCGCCGATGGAGCAGCGGTAGCAGCAGCGGCGGTTGTTAGTACGGAGGCTCCAGTAGATGCGTGTGGCCTCGTAGCCCACGGGATAGAGGGCGGTGGCACTGTGGAAGTCGGCCATCTGGTGGGGCAGCAGCTGTCCGATGGCGTGGAACACAAGGCCCCCTACACGGAACATGTGCAGCCGCTCCCCCCGCTGGATGATGCTGGCGATTTGCTTCACCTCATCTCGCTCAATGTAGACCCGCCGGAAGACAGCAAAAGAGCTCAGCTCCTGCTCGCAGGGCCCCTTGATCTTATGCATCGGACACAGCATGGTCTTGTCCTTGAAGAACATGCACTTGGCGCGGATGGCGCAGGCAAAGTGGTAGACGCTGGGGCAACGCATGCGATTGCAGCTGCTGGTGGCACCAGTGCGCTGGCACAGGGAGCACTTGGTGAGCAGTCCTCGGTGCAGGGCAACCTCCACGTTCATCAGTGCCCCACCCTGGGTCTCATATACCTCCGTGGACCACAGGGCACAGTTGAGGTGCACCCACAAGTCCAGGTCCAGGTTCAGCAGGCGAGCGGGCCCATCCGTGGCCCCATCCCCCTCCTCATGACAGAAGCAGCAGCGCCGCATGTCTCGAGGCACCTTGTCAGGTCGCAGGGCTGTGCCAAGCTGCTCCATAAACTCTGCCACTTCCCGCTCATCCTCCTGCCGCACACCACCCTTCTGGATGGTCAGCAGCAGCCGGAGACGCTTCCAGCGCACCCCCTTCCACTTCTTGAGGCGAGGGGGCCGGGAATCTTCGCCTTCCTCAGAAGGCCGGGCTCGGGGCTTGGGCCGGGCTGATTCAGGGGACGAGGCAAGTGGCAGAGGCGAGGGGACTGGTGGCTCAGCTGAGGGTTCAGCTGGAAGTTCAGCCAAGGGTTCAGCAGGGGGGCTGGCAGGAGAGGGTGCCAAAGGGGAAGGGGGTGGGGAGGGTGCTTCAGGAGGCGGGGCCGAGAGCTGCCGCACGTCCAGGTTGGAGACGTTGTAGGTGTAGCTGTGCTGGGTGGGTGGCTCTGGGGCAGGGCTCTCCTATATGGGAAGACACCCTGTACCATTAGTGCCAGCTCCTCGCTGAACTAGTCACCTCTCTCCTCCCACCCAGATTCCACTCGCCCAAAAGCCCTGTGCCTTCTCGGTCCTAGCCAGACACCCACCCCTTTCCCGTCAACAGACCCACCTGTTTGAGGAGGCTCAAGATGTCCAACTGGCTCTTGAGGGTATAGCCGGGCAACACAGCATCAAACTGCTTCAGCCAATCAGGGCCAGCTTCTGGGCTCTTGCCTCCCAGACCCTTTTCTTTCCCACCTGCAGGAAGGAAGGGGTCAGAGCCTCCCACCAGAATCATTCCCTGCAGGTCCCAAGGAGTTTTCCTGCCAAACTCACCAGGGCCCTCAGCTTCCCCCTTCTTAGGCTCAATGCCTGCCCGGGCAGGGCTCTCTGGGAACAGCACCTCATAGGAGTTGGGGATCTTCATGCTTAGTAGCTCTGCCACTGCCACCATCACACCATTCAGGTTCTGCCAGGGCAGGAAAGGGGATGGGACAGCCGTGTCAGCAGAGTGTGTGGAGTGAGAACTACCACCAGCTTGGTAGGGACAAGGACACTCAGGAGGCAACTCCCCAGGTGGCCATGTGCCATCAGTCTTGCCCCTGTGCCATCCAGCTCTTCTCATACGTTTCCTTTACGGGCAGCCTCTCCCTAACCGCTGTGGGTACTAACGGGAGCTCCACAGAAAGAGACCTGTGTCTGCTGGGTTTGGGAAATGACACACACTACATCCACTACATGGAAATTCACGATACACATTAGCAAAGTAAAGGATCTGAAGAGTCTTGTAATAAAGAAAGCTGTTTTGCTATTTTAACTGGGATTTCCAGTTTCCTTTGACCACAAAACCCTGATAACATTTTCAAAAAACCAGAATTCCACCCAGTGTGACTGGGGACATGCCGTTTTGTAGCGCTCGTCGCATTATACACACTCTCCTATTTGTTGACTTGTGTCTTTACCACTGAACTGTGAGCCCCTTGAGGGCAGGGACCCCTTGTGCTACATTTTTCCTAATCCCACAGTCCAGCTCAGGCTTTCATACACTGTAGGTCCTCAATACATAGTTTTAAATGATTGTATTTAACCAGAGAAGCTCCCGGGACTGCCCACTGACCAGCATCCCCTTGGCCTCCGAGGCACCCCCAGGAACATACCTTGGCAGCAGCGGCAGAAACCGTCAGCATGACTGACACCTCGCTCCCTTTGCCCTTCTCCCAAGTTGTGGCAGGCAGCTTCCCAGGGGCCTCCAGGTCCAGGGCCCCATAAGGTTTGCTGTCTGGGAAGACTGAAGGAGAAAGAGGGACCTGTGTAAGCTCCTGCTGCCTCTCTCCCCAACCTCTGACAATGCAGCCCGGCCTGGCCAGGACCGGTCCATGCCCGGAGCAACCTCTACCTGGGATGCTGGCCCGAGGAATGATGGGGATGACGGGGGAGAGAGCCCGGTCATCCTGCTCCCACCGGCCTGAGCCCAGCTGAGGGAAACGAGGGGCTTCCTCCCCCAGGATGCTCTCGGGGGACGAAGCTGGCACAATGCTGTCAGGAGAATCGCTGTCCTCGTCACTCTCCATCCTGTGGGCCAAAAGCAGACATCCATTGCTAAGGCCCTACAGATGCCACCTCCCAAATCTAGAGATTAGTAGATGTCACAGCCCTGCTTGAAATCTGCCACTGTCCAAGGGAAAAATAAGGCGACCCGCCCGCACCCCAATTCCTCATCCCCATTTCTGGTCCCGCCCGCACCTGACATCCTCAGTCTGATTGTGAGGGGGCGTAGGCAAGGCGGCCAGCAGGTCTAGACTCTTCACCTCTGAAGCATCTGAGGGGTAGGTGGGAGAAGAAAAGTCAGGCTGAGGGTGGCCAGAACCCATGGCGCTTTCTCCCACATGTTTCAGGCCTAACTAGTACAAGACCTAGCTTAGCTATCATGACCACTGTCTACCCATCCACCCACCTACCAGTTTAGGGCAGACAACCTATATTTACTGAGCCTTTCTAAAGAGGTACTCTGTAAGTACCTTCTTTGTTTATAGTCTTTTAGCGACTCCATTAGGCGAGCACTATTTTTATTCCACAGTGAGAAAACTGAGGCTCACACAAGTCAATCGGTTTGGCTGCAGTAACACAGCTAAATCAATGCAGGAGCCAGGATTCAAGTCCAGATCTGACTGTAGTTCGTACCCGCTGGGTAAGGAAGCTGGGCTATTCCCTGTAAGTGAAAGCCTCATAAATACGCTCCCTGTCCTGTTGCCTTTGCTCTAGACTCCAGAAACCAACCACTGCCTCCAACAAATCAGTCCTGAAGAGGCCCTTCTTATCTCAAGGACCCTGTAGTGCATGCACACAGAGCAACACACAGCCCGCTCCTATCTTAAGCTGTACCACATGACCCCAGCCACCCAGACCCAGCAGAGGAGGAGAAGCTCACTCCGTTCCTGACTTACCCCTCAGCGTCCCTTCAGCATCCCGGGCAGAGGTGGCGTCCTTGGGGTGCTCCCCCAGCTCCTCAGATGGAGTGGCGCCATTCACCATCTTCTGCTGCACCGACGGGGGTGGGGTGGGGGGCAGCGACGAGGGTGGTGTCGGCGGGTTACTCAGGTTATTCTGGGGGTGGGGGTGGGGTGTTGTGTGCAAGATGGCATAGGGAGACTGACATGATCTCCTGGCCCTACACGATACCAGCAATTTCCACAAGTCTGCCATCCCCATCTCCACCTCCCCAGGAACCTCATCGTCCCCAAAAGGTATTGCCATTTTTCTGACCTTGGTAAGCAGCTGGGAATAGTAGTCAGGGCCTGTGGGCAGCGTCCCACTTCCAAAGGCCCCCCTCAGCTGGCACTGCCCATTGACTGGGCAGCCGCTGCCAAAGGGAGCAAAGAGGCTAAAATTGGCGGTGATGGTAGGCTCCGTGAGGGGCAGCAGGGACAGCTCCTAGGAGGGGCGAGATGACAAGATTGGAAACCTGCAGCGTGTACATCTCTGCTACTGCACAGGTGGGGGCCAGGCTGCCCCCTATCCTGGGACGGGACCAGGGGACTGGCTCCTGGGGGTCACCTGTTTCAGCTGTTTCAGCAGGGCCTCGCTGGCCCTGACCCCGTCCTCCTTCCGCAGCTTCTTTCGGGAGCTCACCAACCTGTCGCTTGCCTTCTGTACCCTCTTGGGCTTCGGTGTCAAAGGCTTCCTTGCTGCTGTATCCTAAGCCAGATAAACCCACGGTGAAGGCCGCCATCCCCCTCGGAGCCCTCACCTCATTTCACCCAGACCTGTTCACTCTGCCCCCGGGCTCCAGGCCCCGCACCGTCTGCTCCACTCCAGCTAGAGTACTCACCTCCTTGTTGCTGGGGGTACCCTGTAGTTTCTGCTCCAGCCCAGCCAGCTTGCTGTCAATGTGCCCGTTGATCTCAGCTCGCAGCCCCTCGGGCCCCCGCCCAGTGCCGAGTTGCACGTTCTTTGCTCGTAGAAGCTTCTGCAAGAGCAGATGCCCGGCCTCTGAGCGAGGGCCTGCCAGCAGGAGGTGGTTGCTGGTACCTGGTGCCCCTATTGGCTCTCCGTTGGCCTCCCTCTTCACTGCCTGGGCTCCCAGGGCACATGGCTCTTCCCGAGGCTCCTGCTTGATGCTGAGATGGGGTGGCTCGGGTACCACCTGCCCATTCACCTGCTCCAGATGCCCAGGTACCAGGCTGCTTTGGTCCGGCTTCTGGGCTTCCGCTAGGTTGTCTGGGGGGTCCCAAGGTCCCAGCCCCTTGCCAAAGAAGGTATCTGCAAGCTGGGCAGCAGCAGGTGAGACTCTCCCAGGAGGCAGCTCCAAGGGTGGCCCCTGGGGTTTTGGGGTTCCTGGTTGGGTGGTAGGGAGCTGGGCCTCAGAGGGAAGCTGGGGGCTGGGGGAAGGTAACTGTGAGGAAGGTCTCTTTGGCTCTTGGGGGCTGGATGGTGGAGGCGTGGGAAGGACAGGGCCAAGGACTGGTCCTGTGGATAAGGCTCCTTGTGGGGCGGGGAGCCGGGGTGGGCCCTGAGGTCGAAGCCCTGCCCCCAGCTCCTGAAGAGGGCCTGTCTGGGATCCAGGGAAGCCCCCGAGTTGGGGCTGGCGGCCCAGGAGGCCCTGGAGGGGAGAGGGCTGGGCCCCAGGCTCCTGGTAGGGCAGGGCCTGGCGCGCTGCCTGACCCTGCTGTAGCTGCCGCTGCATGAGGAGTGCCTGTAGCTGCTGCTGCTGCTGAGGACTCAAGTGCCGCAGCTGTGGGTTTTTGGCCAGGACTCCCTGAAGCTGCGCTCGAAGCTGACCCACTGTAGGCATGACCCCAGCCCCAGGCAGGCTCTGCCCAGACTGGGGGACAGATCCTGGTTTGGCAGGCTGTGGCCCTGCATTATTTTGCATGGGCCGCTCTAGTCCAAGGGGCTGCTGGGAGCTCAGAAGGTTCTGGGTCATGGGTCCAGGCTGTTCCCCTAAGGAAACAGAGGATGGGGCCAGCACGTGGGGCACAGATGAGGCCTCAGAAGATGATCCACTGCCTGGTTGCCCGTGGCTTCCCACACCCGCTGTGTGGAGCAAGTTCACTTGCTGCTGCTGTTGTCCCGGGAGCCTCAGAGGCGGCTGCAGCTGCACAGCGTTGGGCTGAGGCTGGGCCTGGGGTTGGACAAGGAGGAGTTGTGAGTCCCCGGAGAGTGAGGGCTTTACCTCCCCTGCTTCAGTGGCCACTGACTCCGGTACAGTCCCTACTGCTAACGGCCCTCCCTGATGTGTGGAGGGCCCCTCAGTGGCCTCCGGAGGAAGAGCCGCCTCTACAATGTTTTGTTCCTTGCCCGTTAGGATGAGGGTTGGGCCCAGGGCTCCGGGGCTAGAAAAGTGTTGCAGAGGCTTGGCTGGCAGGCCCGGGCCGAGTGCCACTTGCTGCGGCTGCGGCTGCGGCTGCGGCTGCTGAGGAGACAGTAAAGTTCGACTCTGGCTCAAGAGGCCCGTCTGCGGCTGCGGCTGTGGCTGCTGCTGCTGCTGTTGAAGCTGCTGTGGCTGCAGCTGTTGCTGCTGCAAGGAGGCCACGGGCTGAGCACTCAGTTTGGGCTGCCCGCTGTGTGGCATCAGACCCTGCTGAAGATGGGAAAGCCCCGCCATGGATCCCTGCTGTTGGTGCTGCTGCTGCTGCTGCTGCTGCTGCTGCTGCTGCTGCTGGGATGTGACCAGCCGGTGTCCCATAAGGCCCTGACCCTGCTGTGCCAGCTGGGGGGAACTGAGCACCCGGGGCTGGGTCAGGATCACCTGTCTGTGAGGGCCCTGGGGGCCCAGAGCTCCAGGGTGCTGTTGCTGCTGCTGCTGCTGCTGCTGCAACACTGCCACCTGCGCAGGGCCCAGCATGCCCTGGGGCCCCTGGGGTGGCTGGGGGGACAGCTGCTGGACCAGGAGGCCCTGATGGCTGCTGGGAGGCAGAAGCCCTTGGGGCTTGGGACCCAGACCCTGGTTTGCTGGTACCCCCGGGCCCTGCTGCTGTTGCTGCTGGATTGCCACCTGTCCTAAGAGGTGGTGCTGCTGCTGCTGTTGCAGTTTCTGGGCAAGCTGCAGGCGTTGCTGCTGTAGCTGCAGCTGCCTCTCCTGTAAAAGCCTCGAGTCAGGTCCTAGGCCTCGAAGAGCAAGGTTGCCAGGGAAAAAGCCCCCCGAGGGGCCGGCGAGGGCCCCAGCCCCACCAGAATGTTGCTGTTGCTGCTGCTGGGCCAGGGCGGTGTTGAGGAAGGGGCCACCAGGCTGTCCAGGTAGCGCCATGCCCCCGGGGGGCAGGCGAAGCCCTGCAGCTTGACCCCCGGGGGGCCCCTGCGGTGGCTGCAGCCCATGGCCAGGGAGCAGCTGAGCAGGAAGCTTGGTGAGCAGCCGGGGACTCTGGGAAGGGCTAAGGGCCAGTACAGCCGAGTGCTGCTGCTGCTGCTGCTGCTGCTGCTGCTGCTGCTGCTGCTGCTGCTTATTCCGATACTCTGCCATGAGGTTAGTGTGCTCCTTCTGCTGCTTCCGGACCTGACGTGGGAGGGTCAGGAAGGTCAGCCTGGAGCCTGCCCACCCATGCCATCCCTCTTCCCAGGATCCCGGCTGCTAGGCTGAAGTCTGCCTTCCCCACCTGATCCAGCTGTTTCTGGATCTTGCTCTGTTGTTCTGTAACCAGCTTGAGCTTCTCAGCATCAGCCTCTGGGAACTCACGGCCGGCCTTCTTGGCAGTGCGCTGCTTGGCGCACAGAGCTTTCCGGGACTTGCGGTGCACCCCAATCTGCTCCTCTAGCACCTTCAGTTGCATCTGTAGGAGCTGCTGGGTATGGAACAGCCACTCCTCATACTGCCGCTGGTCAGCCTCATCTGGGAAAGGAAGCGGGCGGGTGTCAGGCGATCCAAATCCCTCTTTCCCCACATACCCCAAGCCCCTTCCTTGCACTCTCCTCCCCAGCCCCATACTCACTGATCACTCCCTGGGCAAAAGTGGGTGGATTGGGACGAGGCTGGGAGGGGTCACCGGCACTCCGCTCCTGTGATGAGAGAGACAGCTAAAGGGTCACTGTTCTGTACCAGGCCCTAAGAAGGGTGGCCTGATGGCATAGGACCCAAGCTCCCACTCCCACCTGACCATTTATTTACCTGGCCACTCCCAGCTGCCACGTGGTTCTGCAGGTCACTGCCGGGCCCCCCTGAGAGTCTCTGGGCTAGCAGGGACACTTGCTGCCTGGAGTCCGCCAAAGCAAAGAGGATGTGTCGGTGATGGGGAAAGTTGAAGGGCAAAGAGGTGGGACAACAAGGAAGCAGGATCAGGAAGAACAGGGGAAGGACTGGCAAAAGGAAGGGCCAACCCTCCCACTCTGCAAGTCTTACCTGTTCATACCAGGTGCCACTCCAATGCTGCCCTGAGCCATCACCTTCTTGATGCCTTTCAAAGCAACCATCTTGGCCTTTGCAATAGGATCAATGATATCTTCTGCAGCAAATTTGTCCAGGTCTGGAGAGGGAGGAGCCAAGTGAGCTGGGCACTGAGGTCAATGCCCCATTCCATGTCTGCTGTTCCAACACCTTGACCTCCACTAAGCCAAGCAGAACAACGGCATGGCATGGTGGAAAGACCACTGGACTAGGAGCCCGACAGCATAGGTGACTCAGTTCTATTATTCACAGAACATGTGGCTCCGTTTTTACTCGCACAGTGCTAGGAAAAGGTACTCAGTAAATATCTGTTGAGCCAATATATCAATGTCATTTCGCCTCTTTGGGCCTCAGTTTACTCTTCTATTTTGTAGAGATCATGATTCCTTATTCTGCTCACCTCATAGAGCTACTGAGAGGATCAAATGTGACCAGAATACGAGTACACTTTATGACCTAGAAAGCATTCTTCAAAAGTAGTGTTCTTAGGGCAACTAAGCGCAGCCCAAGAACCCAAGATGCAGGCACTGTGCCAAAGCCCAACGCCAGAGCTGTTTTGGGCACAACACGCGTCACCTACAGACCACTCTTCTGCCTGTCCAGGATGCTGGGCAGGAAAAGAGAAACCAGCAGCCACCAAAAACTTAAATCTTCCTAAAATCCTGTACATTATATATTTCTCCACTGCTCAGAAAGCTTAACTGACTCCCTACTTTTTTTTTCTTTTTTTGGCCCCGCCGAGCGGCATGGGGGGGGTCTTAGTTCCCCAGTCAGGGATCGAACCCTCGCGCCCTGTATTGGAAGCACAGTCTTAACCACTGGACTGCCAGGGAAGTCCCCTGACCCCTACTTTTAAGAGGACTAACCCAACTCCCTCTCCTGGTTATTTTGAGGCAGTAAAACAGTTAAGAGGATACGAGGGCCAGGGTTCAAGTTCCAGTTCTGTTAGTTGTGTGACCTTGGGCAAGTTAACTTAACCTCTCTGCCTCAGTTTCCTTTTCCATAATCCAAGGTAATAATAGTACCTTCTTAATGTGTCTGCTGTGATGATTAAATTATACGATGAACGTAAAGCGCTCAGCACAGGGTTTGGCATGGCAAACCACCATTATTCAATAGATGCTATTATAATTTGAGGTCTTCTTCAATCTGGGCCCTCTTCTTACCTCTCCATAGCTACGGTAGCGCCCCCTCACTTCCCTCCGCAAAGCCTGCTCCAGGCTAACCGTTGTCTCCACTCGTTGTCTCCAAATATACCCCATCGGCTTTCCTGCTGCTAAGTCTTTTCACCAACCCGGTTGCTTTTTCTTGCACCACTCCTCTCCAAGTCCTAATCTTTGGGCCTCACCCCAGCTGCAAAGCCTTTGCTAACCAGACGTCATGCGTCTGTCCCATTCATTCATTCCACATCTGAATGCCTGCTGTACGCCGGGCACTATTCTCCCTTAAAAGCTACAGTCCTTCTGCTTACGCCACTCGTATGGGATTTGGCCAAAGCTCTTTGTGTCCCAGCCCCTTTAACTAGGGAGGATCTCGGGTCTGCAGCCTCAGTGAGCATTTAGTGGTAACGGTGATAAGCCAGCGCCCCCAGACGAGGTTACCTGTATCCGGGAAGAAGCTGTTAGCCAGCTGCTGCTGCATTGCCAGCTGCTGCGGTTTCATGCACATGGAAGGTGGCACAGTACCCATGGGCTTCTGTGCCAGCACTGGCTGTGGGCTCTGCTGGGGCACCAAGCCTGCCTGTCCCCCATGCTGCCCACTTAGCATATGCCCTTGGTTGGACACCATGGTCATGGATGGGGCCAGGCGCTGCTGGAGGGCGTGAGCTGGTGGCTGGGTGGGCATCAGTGGCTGGGCCAAGCCCGGCTGTCGGGAACCTCCAAGTCCCAGGGCAAGCTGCTGCTGGGCGCCAGCCAAACTGGGAGAAGAGCCCTCATGTGGCAAAGACACAGCCTGGGCAGGGCCCGGGGTGGACAGTAGGGAATGCTGCTGCTGCTGCTGCTGCTGCTGCTGCTGCTGCTGGGCAGGCTGCAGCTGTGCTGAGAGCTGCTGCTTCTTCTGCAGCTCCTTCTTCTCGTGTTCCAACAGGTCCTCGATGAGCAGGGGCAACTCACTGGCTACCAGTGAGCTCTCCATCTTGTCCAGCTCATCCCCAGATGCATGTCCACCGGGCAAGGTCAGGGCCCCACTCTCTAGCTCAAACTTCTCCAGCAGGGAGGACCCTCCTGGGCCACTCAGTGGGCTGGGGGTCAGCAGGTGAGCTGGTGGTCCTCCTGTGGTCCCAAAGGGGACCTTCTCAGCTGGGTGCCCACTACTGGAAAAAGGTCCTGTGCCCATTCGAGTGTCCCGGCTGCCCACCACACTCTGTCCTGGCTTCAGCCCCAGGCCTAGGGAAGTGGTGGCTGGAGATGGCTCTACCTTGGGGGCGGTGATGGTAAACTGGCAAGGGGAAGGGTGGCGCCCACCCTCCTCCAACTTGGGCTTCACCTCGGGGAGCACTGACGCCAGACGGGGCTCAGAGGCATCAGCGGCGGGGGGAGGGCGCTCCTCAGGGCCCAAGGGTCCTGGCTCCACCCCCCGCAACAGAGCCTCCCGCTCAGCCTTTTCATTGGCCGACTCCACCAGCCTCAGATGCTCATTGAAGATGTCCTTCTTATCCCCGGTGTCCAGCTCAGGGTCAGTATAGGCCAACAGGTCAAACTCATCCCCGTTGAGCAGGTCGTCCAGGTGGGGATCATTGGTCTCCAGGTTTTCCAGGGTGCCCAGCTCATCATCTCCCTTGGCCACGTCCACACCCAGGCCCAGGTGAGCAAGCTCCTCATCGTCCTCCAGGGCCTTGTGGGCATCAAAGTCATCATCCAACTCAGGATCCTCACAGGGTAACTTCCCAGCTTCCAGGGCCAGAGGAGGGCGGCCAAGCTCAGTGCCTGAGGGGGGCCGGCTGACTAGCTCCAAGCCAGCGGGCGCGTTGGGACCCTTGGTATGGGGCGTTGGATGGAGGCCGTTGTTCAGTTCAGGGGCCGGCGGGGCTGAGGGTTTCTGAGGAGGAAGGCCTGACACTGCTAGGCCACGAAGCCCTTCAGGGGCCAGTCGGTGAGAATCCTCAGTTACAGGGAAAAAACGGGGTCTCTGAGGGGGGCCCTGACCAGGAAACGGAGGCACCCCCGGTCCCAGTCCTTTCTGTACATTGTGCCGCAACTCAATGAACTGGGCAGGACCAGCTGGACCAGGCACTGGCTCACCAGGGCCAGGCAGGCGGGCGGGAATTCCCGCCAAGGGGGAACCTATGGCTTGGCGGCCAAGTTCAGGCCCAGGAGTTGACGGAAAGCGTGTCGACATGGCAAGTCGCATGGAAGTTGCTGCTGTTGCCTGTTGCTGCTGCCACAGTTGCTGCTGCTGCTGCTGCTGCTGCAAGGGCAGGGACCCAGGATACGGTGCTCGCTGATAGAAGGCTTGGGAGCCTCCCACCAATTGCCTGGAAGAATATGCAGTAGTCAGTGAGACGGAAGCAGGATGAAAAAGGGCTAGAACACGGGCTGCCCCGAGGAAGGAAGGATGGAGTTAATGCAGTGAGGGGGAAGGAATGGGGAAGAGAAGTTAAGTGATGCTGAAGAAGGATTAGAGAGACAGGAAAATCAGAGGCAGCACACAATGGAGGTACAATATGTTCCCTTGATTTCCCCCCAGGGCACCCCCTGGAGCCTCACCGGCTGTTCACATCCATAGAGGAAGGGGTGGCTGGTGGAGGTGGCCGGGAGAGTCGGTCATCACTGGGAAAAGCCCCTGGCCCCAGGATGGGGCCACCCAGCTTGCTTGGGGGCAGCCCCACAAGGCTGCTCTTGTCCTAGGAGAGATGAGGGTAGATGAAGGTGGGGGCCACCTTCAGTATCTTGGATCCACTACCCCTTGCCACTCTACCTACCTGGCTGCTGGCAAAGGGGGTCTGGCCTCGACCCAGCTGCTCAAAGGCAGGGCTACTAGGCTCAGCACCCCAGCTGCCCGGGGGCCCCACTGCTCCGGCAGCTGCCGCGGTTTCCTTCTCCTGCCGAAGGGTGTTGCGCTGGATCTGCTGCCGAATCAGCAGCTCCCGTAGTCGTTGGCGCTGCGCAGAGAACAGAGAAGAGGGGTGAGTCCATTCTACTCAAACCGAAGGGCTGGCACAGAAACAGGGGAGACGTGGAGGGTGCTCAGGTCCAGGATGTCGACTCACCTGTCGTTGCTTCTCCAGCTCGGTCTGACTGAGGCTGGACATGCCTGGGTCCTGGGTACCTGGAAGTTCAGGTGCCGCCAAAGAGCTGCCCATCCCAGCCCCTGGGTCTTCTCGCTTCTCAACTGGAGAGGTGATGCCTGCCCGCTGTGAGGCTCCATGCGACAGGTAGGGGAGGGATCCATCGGGTGCAGGTGGTGGAAGGACTGATGGGGGGCGTAGTGGGGACAGCCCATAGCCCTCTCCTGTGGACCCACTGCTGGGTCCCAGAGGGCTGCCCGATGGGTGGAAGTTCCCTGTGGCTACTGTGTAGTTTGTGCTTTGAGGCTTGCCCAAGGTAGGGCCGGGCCCAAAATGGCTGTTGATCCCATGGGGTGGAGGGAGACCAGGCTGAGGGACAGGGGGCTTTAGCGAAGGCTCCCCTACTGCCTGAGGGAAAGTGAAACGCATGGGAGAAGGGGTGCCTACAAATGCACCAGTCCCAGGGGACCGGGCAAAATTGGGGGGCTGCACACTTGGGACCTTGGCATGGAGCTCACCTGCCGGCCCTGAGGGCAGGGCTGCTGGGAAACCCCCAGCCCCCAACGGAGTGTGGGCTAGAGGCCCAGCCTTGAAGGCAACTTCAGGGGGCTGGGGGCGGGGTGGCTTATGCAGTGGGGCAAACGGGTCCCGGGACTGAGGGCGTGAGGGCGGGCGGGAATAAGGGTCAGGGGACTGGAAGCGAGGGGTAACAGGGGATGGGCAGAAAGCCTCAGCAGACAGAGGACGGGGTGTCAATGGGGACTGGGAGCTGGACTGGGACTGGGGACTGGCGGGCACTCGGGAGAAAGGGTCAGAGGGCAGTGAGCGAGGAGGCAGGGCACAGCAGCTCTCAGGGGGTGGGGGTGGGGGCCGAGGGGTCAACGGGGGTTGGGCATAGGGGTCAGGGTAGGGGCCAGGGCGAAAGACGTCCGAGTGGCTGGGAGGAGAAGGGGCCAAAGCCTGGGCAGGGGGAGGCTCCTGGGGCCTTAGGCCCAAGCCTGGGCTCTGGGGCTCTACCTGAGATGCCCGAGGGGTCAGGGGGGCTTTGAAGACATCGGGTGCCTTTAACTCCAGGCCACCCAGATGGGGGCCTGAGGAGGGTGAGTCAACAAAGCCCAGGTTTGGGGGCCCATAGCTGGGAGACGACGCCCCAAGCTCTTCCTTCTTCACCTCTAGGGCCTTCCGAGACTCCACGAAAGGCAGGGGCGACAGCAGAGGCTCAGAAGCCTTGCCTCCCCCTACCCCTGGGCTCTCAGTCACAGCCAGGTTGTCCAGCGAGGGGCAGCGGGGTTTGAGGAAGGGGTCAGGTGTGGAGGGCTGGTGTCGGGGGGTGCCAGGTGGGGTGGTGTGGAACTCCCCTGGCTGGCCGGTCCCAGGACGAGATGAGGCGCCCAGCGTCGCGGGCTGCGCGGGGGCCCCGGTCGGACTAGGATAGGGAGGATAGGTGGGTGGTGCCGTGGGGAAGCGGGGCTCCAGAGCGTAGGCGGGGGCCAGTCCAAAGGGGTCCTGCGAAGGCACTTGGGCGGGCACCTGGGGTGGGAGCTTGAGGAAGAGCTCACCGGGCGAGTCGGGGCCGGGCACCGTGCCCGCCGGCGGCTTCAGAAACCCATCCGCAGAGGTAGACAAGCCGGCGGGGGGAGTGGGGCTGCCAATGAAAATGGTGGGGGCAGCAGCAGGAGGCGGGCTGCCCAGTGCCCCTGGCTGGGGGGGAATGCGGAGATGTAGGGCCGGTCGGTCAGTCTTACGGGCCATGTCGCCCACCTTGGTCTGCTTGTTGATCTGGCTCTCAGCCTGCTACAGGGGGAGACCAGGCACAGAGCAGTCAGGCTGCTGTAGGCAGGCCCTACGTCCCCCCTACCCTTAGAGAGCCCGCCCCACTACAGGCCTTGGATGGCACGGCCCAGCCTGGCCCCCACTCACCTTTTGCACCTTGTTGATGCGGTGAGCTGCCCGGTTATCTTTGGCCTTTTGCTGAGGAATAGAGGACACAACCTTAGGCTAGGACGCAATCTCACGCTCAGTCCCCAGCCCTCGCAATGTCACTCACACTGCCTACCCAGAAGCTGATCCCTACTGGCCCAGCTGCTTTGGGAGTGGGGAATGGCAAGAACTGAGGCGACCTTCCCAAAGTCACCCCACACCCTCAGTTCCCACGCTGACCCAGGCTCCCTCTGTCTCACCAGGTAGGGGGCTTTATCAGCAGCTGGAACTTTTCTCCAGAGCTTCATGATTTGTTTGCAGCGGCTAGACCAGTCTGGAGGGCAGACAGAATGTGTTAGAGGAGACCTGGCAGGTGACCCCCTGCACGTGCCAAGTTACAGGTTGTCTCCCTTGCCCTCATCCCACGGGTACCTGGGTAATCTTGCTTGAGATTGGGAAAGTTAATGTTGGCATAGAGCACAGGTGAGATGGTAGAGAGCTGGCCCAACTCCTCGTCCTTCTCCCAGCGCTGAAGACTCCGCTGGTTGTAGGAGAGCCCGTCGCCCTCACCCTCTGTGGTGGGCGTGGTCGGGGTGGAGGGCGTGGTGCCCCCCGAGCCTGTCCAGGGGCTGTCTGGCTCACCGGGCTCCGGGCTAAAGAAGCCCCCGCGCTCCCTGGGGCGCAGGGGCGGAGAGTCACAGAGGGCAGGGACGCCAAGTCCCACCCCAGACAAACTGCCCAGAGTCCCCAGGCCACTGCCCTGCCCCAACAGAGGACAGTCACTAACAAAGGAGCAGAGAGAGGTGTTGCTACAGCAGCACCCAAGAGTCCAAGGTTCCCTCCCTTGGCATGGCCCCAGTTGGAAGGAAGAGACTGCCCACGGGGGTTAAGCATAAATACCAACCTAGAATCCAGGAATGGGGACTGGCAAAGGCCCGGGTAGGAGTCCATTGGGCTGCTGGAGGGGAGATTGCCCAAAGGGAGTCCACCTACAAGAGGCACAGGATCAGCGAAAGGAGTAAGTGGCCCATCCTGGAGGCAGGCTTGGCCATACCTGCCCACCCAGTTTTCAAACCACTCCTATCCGGATCACCTTGAAGAAAGGGCCTCTGTAGCGGTGTACGGCTGCCGTCGAGGCCAGGGGTTCCACAACCCAGATGTTGCTCTCGTTCAGAACCCAGAACATCCTTGAAAAGCTGCTGCAGGTCCTTGGATTCCATCTTGGGCAGTTCTGTGAGGGATCGATGAAGGATGATGCTGAGGAAGACTGGGGAGTTGAAGGGACACCACAGGGCTACAAATGGTCACGGCCAGGGAAGGTGCCCACGACTCCCCACTAGAGAAGCTGTAGAGATGAGAGTCTCACAGGTAGGATGCTCTCCTCCCACAGAGGACCCTTATAGGCAAGGAGTGCGGGTCACAGCCTCACCTTCTGTGGGAATCCTGTCTAAGTCAGAGCTAAGCATCCCTTCCCCCGGGGTGCCTGGCTTCTCAGGGTCACTAGGCACTGGGGATGCCTTTACGCCGCCATCCTCAGGTCCTGCAATTGCCAGGAGAAACCCATCAGCCAAGGCCAGTATGGAGGTACCACACTGGCCACCCTGAACCACAGAAGGCATGGAACACTTTCCAGCCTCCATCCCTGATAGTGCTCAGGGGCAGAACAGATTCACAGAAGCAAAACCAAGATGGCACACAGTCCTCCCAGCAGCCCTCACCTGATGTGTCAGCCTTGCCCTCAGGACCACGGGATTCTTCATCGGCAACATCCGGACCATCATCTCCTATGAGCAACAGTCGCCATTCCAATCAGAGATGCCCTACATGTGATGCCCCGAATAGGACCCCAGCTCCAAGGCCAGGGCCCTTGGCCCACCCTCAACTCCTGGAGACCAGCCCATTTCCCACTAAAATCTCTTACCAGCTTCTAAGCACAGAGCGAAATTGGACCCCTTCAGACCACCTTACCCCCACACGACTGACCTTTCTGTGAGGTCGGGAGCTCCTTCCTATCTGAGCCTCCATCCCCCTTGGCTTTTGGGGTTCCTAGTCCAAAGCTTGGCCGGCCCACCCCAACTGCAAAAAGGGCCTTCCGGCTCAGGTCCAGCAGCTCCTTCCCAAAGAAGGCTTCCTGTGGGAGGAGTCAGGGAGAAACAGGCTTCTTCATGCCCTGCAGGACCGACACTGCCCTTGCCCCTCGGAGCCTAAGACCCACCTGCAGATAAGCAGGGAACATGTCCTCTAGTTTGCTCTTCTTGCGCCCTCGCCGCTGCTGCTTCTTCTTCTCATCCCCATCAGCTAAGCTCTGGTCCACAGAGCCCTCTGCAGGCAGGTCGGCAGGCAACACTGGGGACCGAATGGGAGGTGTCTGCCTCTCTGGGGACAGCGGGCATGCTGCTCCCAACTTGGCCTGGGGACGCTTTCTGCCTACTCTCTCCCCAGCACCAGTAGTGGGCCCACTACTCCCCTGGCCCTCTGAGTGGACTCCCCTGCCCCAGGCCTCCCTGGCAGTGTCCCACAGGTCCCGTGATCCCCACCTTCTCCCAGGCCCCACTGGAGCCCTCACCCGTCTCACCCTCGTCGGGCTGCCCATCCCCACTCAACACCTCCGCCTGTGCAGCAGGCCCCTTTTTCACACGTGTGTGGGATTTCCGCTGTCTCACCATGAAACCACCGATGCCTATAAGGAGACAGAGCTGAGGCTGAGAAGCCGCTGGGGACCTGGTGAGCTGCCCCTCCCCACCCCACCTCTGCATCCCAGGGCCTCACCAGGCCGATAGGGTTTGCGTTTGCGTTTTTTGCTTTCCTCGGTCTCCTCTTTGCCAGGCTCTCCATCAGGGCTGACGGGGCCCTCTAGTTTAATTTCGCATTCCATGTGTTCCACACCACCTGTGTACGGGGACAGACGAGATGGAAGCAGGTCAGAGGCATGGACCCTTTTAACCCTGTCATCCTGCCACCTAAGAACAGAGCTGAGTGCCCTGCCACAGAGCCATCTGGACAAGACCAACAGTGCCTTGAGGGTGACTGGGAGTCATAATGCAGCTCCTACCCAACACTCAACTCTCACAGGCATGCTCCCATTACTTTGGCACTCCCTGAGACTCCTCAGCCTGACCTTCACCCTTGAGCAGCTCATCAGTGTCCAGGTCTCCATCCTTCTTGTCATCAGGGCCAAGGGCATCTGAAGGCTCAGAACCCTCCAGCCCTGCCTCGCCTGGGAGGCCAAGCCGTCCTCGCCGCTGGCGCCGCTTGTGCAGGGGCGACATGGTCAGGTTACGCAGCACAGCCATGCCAGTTTCTGTCAGCCACACACCCTCGAAGCGGAAGTACTGGGGCTCTGCACAAGGGGGAAGAGCGTGTGACCCCTGATGGAGGCCCCAAGGAGCGCAGAACTCCAAGTTTCGGCCTAAGTCCCTAGCTGGGACGAAAGCAGCGAGAGAGAGACAGACTGAAGTCCAGACTGGGGTCTGAGGGCTGGAGAGGAGAGACCACCAGCGGGCGCCAGCTGAGGCCCGAGTGCTCCCTCAGGTAACCAGGGGGATCAGAGAGACCGCTCCTGCTGAAGCCGGACTTTGCTCATGATTCACCCTCAGTTCACCCAATATATTCTCTAGCTGTCTGAGGCCAGGAGGGCCCCTCCTTGCCGAATGCCAGCTCACAGTGCCCCAGATGCCAGGAGCAGTGCCCACATCACGATGGAGGTGGGAGAGCCCCAGCTCCTTCATTAAGGAGAAAGCTGTGCTCCGTGCTCTCCGGAGGTGAGATTCTAGCCGTACAAAGGCCGCGTTGCCTGGTGGAAGGAACTCTGCCTGGGAAACTGGATGCCTTGGTTCTCGTCATAACTTCACCACTGACCTATGGGGTGACCTTGGGCAGGCCACTCAACCCCCCTGGGTCTTAGTTTCCTTCTCCGAAAATAACGAGATAAAGTTGGGGGGCTGGAGCTGGACTAGGTGCCTAAGGTCTCCTCTGGCTTTGGCATTCAGAATTTCTGTGACTCACCCGGCTCTTTCACCTTCATAGGCACCAGCTCTGGAGGCGCAACAGGCACTGTGGAGAGGACAAAGCAAGGCAGCTAGAGGCCCTGTCCCAAAGCAAGGCGCCCCTGCCCGACCCCTCCTCCCCTCTCCCCCGCCCCTGGTACTCACCAGCAGGCTTTACCACGTAAGGCTGGCAAGAGACACAGTCAAAGCCCTCATCGGCCGCCTGCTCCACGTCATCCTCTGTGAAGAGGCTCTCGCAACCAGCATGCATCCACCTGGGAGAAGGGAGACAGGAGGGGATAAACTGAGACAACGCCAGGCTGAGAACAGGGAAGAGGGGGCTTATATGAGGAGAAAGGGGCACCCTCACCGTTCACAGTGACGGCACTGGATCAGGAGGTCCTCTTCCACATACGGGGCATGACAGATCGGGCAGGTCACCAGGCTGGCGCAGGGCCCGCAGTGCGTGTAACTATTCTGCCATTCACAGTGGAAGCCAGGGGAGGCGGCCCCACACTGCATACAGGACACACACCTGGTGGGGGCAGAAAGACAGACCCTCAGCACCTAACCTACCCAAAGCACCCAAAGCCGCCCGGCCTTCTAAACCCCGCCTCTGCCATGTATTCAACATCACACCCACTCAAACATTTCAGGCCCCTCTGAAGATCCCAGTCTCCTTACCACTTGCACTTCCAGCCACCCTTGGGCACGGTGAGCAGTGGCGGGTCCAGGCAGTACGTGTGGTAGCTAATGTCACAGTCATCACAGAGCAGCAGGCGGGAGGGGTCTGAGGCCTGGCCGCATACCTCACACACGATGCACTCCACGCAACGCCAGCCCTTCAGCAGCATCACCTTGGTGATCTGGCGCAGAAGATGGCAATTCCTCAGGAGGTGATGCGGAGGGCAGGGCAGACCTCTCAGGGGAGGGGGGGACTTACACAGGTGAGGCTGGAGGACCCCAGTACCCAGGCCAGGCCTCCATTTGAGCACAGGGAATCTACACAGAGCACCCTCACCCCAAAAATAGTGGATCTTAAACTTAGGCTTCCAGGGGTCTCTGCTGATCAGAGAACAGCCTCGCCCAGCCACTGCCTCATTAGGATCTTTCACTAGCGAAGTCTCCAAAAAGACTGTGGATAGAACTAGGTTGTATTTCCCCCAGTTTTTCTTGAACATGTAGAGCCTGCTGCTGCTACAAGTTAGTGACTGTTAGCAGTGGACAAGTTCTAAATTAACATTAGTGAAAACCCCAAAATGACTGATCATACTTGAGTCAAAAACACTGCTTTCTCTTTGCGGACATGTGTTTGATTCTGATTTTACATTTTATATCCAGACCATATCATGTTTTCTACTAGTAAAGTTCTCACAGTTTACATGATGGACTGAATTATACCAGCAAGTCATGGTCTACCACAAAGAAACTCGTAAAGACCACTACGGTTTCCGAAGTATTTTTTCCCAAGATGAATTTGACAACCACTGGAAACTGATGGACAACTTCCATGACCAATGGCCACTTTAAGTCGAGTGGCCAGGACAGGGGACTAGGATAAGCAGTAACGACCCCATCCCTCAGGCCAGACCTCTTGGGCCCTGAACTCACCTTGCTGTTGACACAGTAAGGGTGATAGCACTGAGAGCACTGGGAACAGGCAAGAAGGTGGCCCTCTGCCCCCCGGCCAAAGCTGCCACATACCACACACATGTCCTGGGGAAACACACAGAAACCCAAATGTCCAACCTCACATCCTCAATACCACTCAGTCCCAGTAACTGACGACACCACTAATCTGAGAAGGGGGAGTCAAAGAACCAGAAGCCCATCCCCAGCATTAGGACACGGTGAGCCATCACGGGACCCCGTTCCTTCCTAGCATGCCTTGCCCATCTGATCAGGTAATTTGAAATGATACAGCCTGACATGGGTAACGCTAAGGAGAAGTGAAAGATAAGGTGGGTAAAGGCTGGTCAGGATGAGACAGTAATATATGCGACAAAATTCTACAGCTTCGAGATTACCCGTGTTCCCTAGACTCTAAGCTTCGACAGGGCAGAAACCATTTCTGCCTTTTTCACTGCTACATTCCTAGCTGCTAGCTCAGTGTCAAGCTCATTCTCTGGAATGCCAGGAGTAGGTCCCTGGTTCTCCCCATTTACCCTCCCACCGAAACACACACAGCCAACTGCTCAGGCTGCCAGGCCTCACTGCTGAAGGCGGGACTACAGAAGTCAAGTACGGTACCTGCATTAGGACAAACTTGTCTGTGTTGGAGAAGAGAACCACGGTATTCTGCATGGTGTCATCATCGTCGTCTTCTTCCTCCTTGCCGGGAGAGCTATCGATATCAGCAACCTTACAGGCAGAAAGTTGTGGAAAGTGAGGCAGCTAAATCCGCCCCCACTAAGCTGCTTTCCTCTTTGGTGTCGGGGCAAGGCGGCACAAACCCCTGGCTAACGTGAAAGCCAGGAGCCAGGACTAAGAAGCAGAAGAACACCCCAGCTCCCAAACTGGGCCTCAGCCCAACATCAGATTTCAGAGAAGCCTGGGGGCCGAGAGCACAGAAGGAGCACAGACATAGCTGGACGGGCCCTAGGCTAGCAGGCAGGCAGGTGAGCGTGCAGGGGACTGGCAAGATTTAAAGGGTGTTTAATCTTGAAGGGGACAGCTGAAGCATGTTTGGGGGATGGGAGGCCTCTCCTTACTACCAGAGTCTCAATGGAAGAAGTAGTTGATTTTAGCCGGGCCCGTCCTCTCCCACGTCCTCCATGTGCTCCTCCACGTGGCCGGCGTCTTCCTGGGAAACTACTGCTGCGACCCTGAGTGAGGAAAGGGGACGATTACAGGAAAAGTCGAGGGCTAATATGCTGCATCCACAGGCTTGGAGGGAAGAGAAGAGACGAAGGGACAGAGTACGGCAGGTAACAAGGCCCAAAAGTCCCAGTCAGGGCCAGGGAAAAAGCCAAGCTCTCAGATAGCAACAGGTAGGTAACTCTGGTCCAAACCACTCCACATCTTCCAAGAAGAGTGGTCAACGTGGTACAACAAGAAACAATACTGGCCTGAGAGACCTGAGTTTCTAGTCCCGATTCTATGGCTAAGTTACCATGAACCTGGGCAAGTCGCGTCCCCCTGTGTATCAGTATTCCCCTTGATAAAATAAGAAGGTGCACTCAAGGATCTCTGACAGTCCAGGATTCAATAAGCCAGGCAGAAAGGTATCAGTGACACAGGACTACACCTCTGACAGTGGCATGACACCAAGCACATCAGTGGCTGGATAGCCCCTTACCTGTTTGATGCGGGAACGAGCCGGGGAGCTGCGCCGCCTCCCCTTGTCCCCCTCCGCTTTGCCTCCTCCGATAGCTGTCCCAGCATCACACAGCAGCGAGTCATCAGTCTCTGGCAGCGAATCCGTACAAAGTCGCAGGGAGCCCTCATCTCGGGCTGGACTAACGTCTGTAGATACCCCCAGCTCCATGGACAGGGAGCCACCGCCCTCGGGGTCGGGAGAGCCCAGCAGGGGCTCTGAGCCAGGAAAACTGGCACTGGCATCGCCCTGGCTCAGATTGGAGATCTCATTAACGATGTCAGATTTGATGAGAGTAGGTGGGGTGGGGGCCACTGGTGCACGTGGCTCCTCTTGCTCTTCACAGGGTGAGCCCTGCCCTGCCTGCTTGCATTCTGGGCCATAGACCTCCATAGGGGTCACAGGGGCCAGCTCCTCGGGGTCCAGGAGCACAGGGGAACCCTTAAGTTCACTAGCCAAACTGCCGGGGGTCTGTCCGGCCTCTGGATGTGATCCAGGAGTGTCAGTCCCATCCAGAGGGGCTGTATCTTCCCCCAGGCCAGAGAAGTCATCCAGGGCTGGGGCAGGGCTGGGGGCAGGGCAGGAAAGGTTCCCCATGGGAGAGGGGAGAGGACTAGTAGGGCTGGGTTCCAAGGCTGGGCACTCAGGTTCTGGGGCTTTCTCAGTCTCCATCTCATGTGGCTCAGCCTCATCTGAGACCTGCACTGCCTTCTGTATGGGACTCAGTGGGGAAGGAACAGACAGTGGCAGAGCAGGGGGAGAGCACTGGGAAGGAGGGGAGTTTGGGGGAGGCAGGGAATGCTGGAGGAGTGGGGAACAACGAGGGGGAAGGGGCTCCATCAGCATGGGAGAGGCCGGTCCTACCGGGGAGCCTGGAGATGGGGGAAGGATCATAGGGGGTACAGGCTCAGGGTCAGTGCAGTTAGCTTCTGGTGGAGGGCTGATAGGTGTCTCTAGGATGGGGGCAGCCAATGGCGACTCAGGGTCACTGTCCCCTTTGGCACCAAAGGGGTACTCTAACTCTCCCAAAGGAGACAGGGCCGGCGGGGCCACAGCTGTGATAATGGGTGAGAGCGGAGGAGGAAGAGGATCTGGAGAGAAAGAAGAAAAGAGAGGCTCTTAGATTAGATGTGCCATAAAGAGTAAAGACTGTCCCAGAGTAAGAGGGTACTAACATCCCCGTACCTGGTGGCATCAGCTGAGGTGACAAAGATGGCTCCCCGGATGGGGACAACGGCAGCTCCTCAGGCAGAGGGGACAGAGGTGGCTCCCCAGGCTCAGACAGGGCCGGCTCTCCAAGCAAAGGGGATAAGGGTGGCTCCCCAGGTGGGAGGAACGACGGCAATTCCTCAGGTGCAGGGCATAGGCCTGGCTCCTCAGGGGGCTCTTCAGGTCGAGGGGACAGGCGCGGCTCCTCGGGCACTGGGGACAACTGCGGCTCCTCGGGCGTGGGGGACAGGCACAGCTCCTCAGGGCGAGGGGACAGGCGCGGCTCCTCAGGCTGGGAGGACAGATGCAGCTCCTCAGGTGCAGGGGACAGACGCGGCTCCTCGGACGCAGGGGACGGGCGCGGCTCCTGGGGCGCAGGGGACAGATGCGGCTCCTCAGGCACAGGGGACAGACGCGGCTCCTGGGGCGCAGGGGACAGATGAGGCTCCTCGGGCGCAGGGGACGGGCGCGGCTCCCCGGGCCGGGGGCAGAGTCGCAGTTCCTCAGGCAGTGGCGATAGGGGTGACTCCTCCAGGGGTAGGGACGTAAGCAAGTCCTCCGGTGGCGGGGAAGCAGGTGAGTCCTCAGGCGGTGGGGACAGGCGTGAAGCCTCAGGTGGCGGGGATGTGGGAGACTCCTCAGGTGGTGGGGACAGAGGAGATTCCTCGGGTGGTGGGGACAGGCGTGACACCTCAGGCAGGGGAGACAGGCGTGACACCTCAGGCGGGGGGGACATAGGCGAGTCTTCAGGTAGCGGGGACATGGGTGAGTCCTCAGGTGGTGGCGACAGGCGTGATGCCTCAGGTGGTGGGGAGAGAGGAGACTCCTCTGGTGGAGGGGACAGGGGCGATTCTTCAAATGGTGGGAACAGACAAGATGCCTCAGGTGGTGGAGACATGGGTGACTCTTCAGGTGGAGGGGACATGGGTGACTCCTCAGGTGGTGGGAACAGGCGCGATGCTTCGGGTGGTGGGGAGGTAGGCAATTCCTCCGGTGGGGGGGACAGGGGAGACTCCTCAAATGGTGGTGACAGAGGTGATGCTTCAGGCGGTGGGGATAAGGGTGTCTCAAGCAGGGGAGATGGGGGGGACTCCTCTGGGGGAGAGAAGGGTGACTCCTCCAGTGGAGAAAAAGGTGATGCCTCAGGTGGGGGAGACAGAGGAGACTCCTCAGGCGGTGGAGAGAGGGGTGAGTCCTCAGGCGGTGGGGACAGGCGCGATGCCTCAGGCGGCGGGGATGTGGGTGATTCCTCAGGTGGTGGGGACAGGGGCGACTCCTCAGGTGGGGGCAGCAGTGGCATCTCCTCATTGAGGGAGGCCTCCAACTGGGGCTCAAGTTGGGCCCCTTCTCTACCTGCAGACATAACACACTATGTTCCTACCTAGTTCAGCTGCACTCCACAGAAAGTACAGGGTCTGGGGCAAAGCAGAAACTGTCCCTTGCCACACGATAGAAGGGGATTACTTTCAGGGACCCTCAAACCCTACTCACCTAGTGGTTTGGCTTCACATTGCAGGGGCCCCGGTTCCTTGGGTTGCATAGAGGTCACGTGCCCACCCTTTGGCTGCCCTTGGCATGCAACGTACAGAGCATCGGGCTCATCAGTGGGGGTATCGCCAGGCTCTGGGGGTGAGAATCTGCAGAGGGTACAGGGGAGCAGGCACCATGGCTCTCATCAGCTATCAGCTCCTCACGAGAGCACACTGGGGCGAGGCACGAATGCTATGGATTGTACTGCCCACCTGAGGGCCCTCCTCTCAAAGTCAGCTTGCTTTAACACGAGCCCTGCCAGTCTCAGCCCTTCCGATCCCCCAGCCTGATCTCTGCCAGTCCACACCACTTACCTGCTACAGACCGGGGGGTGCTGCTCAGCAACAGAACTGACAGGCTGTCCTCCCTGGGCTTTGTGACAGCGGTGACAGAGCGAGTAGTTCTCAAACCACTCAGAGTTGGGGTTCAGCTCTGCTGAGCCTGCCCCACAGGCCCGGCATACCCGGCATGCCTAGGGGAAGGGAACGGGCAAAACAGGCACTTGTCAGACAGCCAGAGACTGGAGGAGAACACGGGACTCGTCACAACAGAGAAACTCGGGATGCTGTAGGAGGCAGACTTAGGGAGAGTAAGGCAGGAGGATCAGGGGACACTCACCTTGCACTTCCAAGAGTGAGCAGGCAGCTCCTCCATAGGTGGTTTCAGGCAGAAGGTATGGTATCCTTTGTCACATGTCTCACAGACCAACATCTTAGAGTCATTCCCAGGTTTCCTGCAGGGGCACAGGGCACGTAACAGGGTCCTCCTTGCCCTCATTTTCAACCTTAACCTGTGCCCCGCCTAAGGTTCTCTCCTGCCCTCCCACTCTTACCTGCAAGCTTGGCACACTTTGCATTCAGGGCACTGCCAGCCAGCACGCTTGCGGGCAGTCAGAGCAGTGTCCAGGCAGGCCCCGTGATAGTGATGCCCACAGCTGGTACAGAAGAACAAGTCACACAATTCCCCTGGCCCCTCACATACGGCACAGCGAGCCTCCTCTGCAGTGGGAAGGGACAGAGGACACGGGTCAGCTACGGATTCCTTACAGGACTCCGTACGGTGCTGTCTACATAACAGGCATTCCACAGACACAGAATGAACGAATAACAAAAAGTTACTAAGTGTCTGCCTAATATATGCCAGGCACTGCTCTAGGCACTGCAGACACCATGCTAAACGAGACAGGCAAAGCCCCTGCACTCACAAAGGCCACACGTATTTTAGTGGGAAAGACAGACAGTATGTAACTGTAGACTTCTGAGTGCTCTGCAGAGTACGGAGCCCCCAGCGCCCTTGGACCCTCATCTGCCCTCCGTCCAAAGGGCAGGACTTCTCACCCAGATGTGCGGCCCCCTCACTGTGCTCCGGGCAAAGCAGCTGCAGTGTTTTCATGGATAAGAAGGAACCGCTGGCAGCTGCACAGGGGAAGTGGTAAAGACGTGGACATCCAGGCGAGCGGCAAGGGATGGAGGCACCGAGTCTGGTGCAGTGGGAACAGCGCTGCCAGGGTGGAGACAAAGCCTCAGTGCTAGCCAGCTCTCTCCAGATCAACATGTCAGGCACTGGCTCTGTCCCAGTATGCCCCCTGCCCTCCTCATTCCACCCTGACTCTCGGAAGCCCACCAGCCCTGCCCACCCTGCCCTGGGCCTACGCAATCCCCTGGCCTGGCCCCACCTGTGAGATCCCTGAGAAGATGGCCTTGTCCACACCACATAGTTCTGGGCCCTCCTGCCCCCACACGCCTGCCGACCACGCAGCACACCAGTGGTGAGCCCAGCAGGACCCTTCATAGGGGGAAAGGGGGAAAGAGTTAACAAGAACGTCATCACTGCTTCAGGGCCACTCAGCCCCTTCCCTGTTTCCTGCCCAAGTCAGCTACCCCACTTCCCTCCACTTACCTCCAGGTTCTCCTAGGTGGGCAGGTGTCAGGCCCTCAGGGAAACCAATCTGTGATAGGTCCTCACTGAGCAGCGCTGCCTCACTGGGCCCTGGGTTCCCCCCAGGGGACACCACTGAACACCGGGGCCAGTCAAATGGCAACTCAAAGCGCCGTAGCTCCCGCTGCCCATGTAGACTGGGCTCCCCGCAGTTACAGAGAGCACAACGCCGCATTGGACCCCCACTGTGAACACACAAGCATCAGCACCACGCTGGCCCCTGCCCACAGGTACCCCTAAACAACCCCATGACTTGCACACCTATGCTTCCCACTCATTTTCCTAAATTTTCCACCTTGAAAGCCCCAGACTCTCAAATCAAATCCTCGTATGTCCTTACATCCTCATTTCCCCAAACTAGTTACCTGCAGTCCTGGGGAGGCTCCTGAAGCCTGGGACCCCCAGAACTGGGCACAGAGCCCTCCCCCACATGTGGTTTGGGGAGGTCTGGCTCAGTGGCACCTGACTCCTCGGAGGCTGCAGGTCCATCAGCTGAATGAACAGACAGAGAAGTGCGCATCAGCCATTACCCTCCGTTTAGTACTAGTCCACTCTTCAGACCCGTGAGATTATCCAAAACCCTTGGTGGATAACAGTGATGGCATTCCAACTTTTGTCCCAAAGAACAAAGTCCTTCAATTACCTGTCTATTAGATGGACTTAGCTCCTGTCCTTGTGCTAGGACCAGAAATCTAAGATTGTCTGGGTAGAACAGAAAGCTGCCAAGCAAACCCAGAATGTGCCCTACTCACCTGCTGGTTCTGAATCTTTATCCTCACCAGGCGGCTTCGGGCTGTCCATCCCTCTCTCCGACTGGGCAGGGCCCTCTCGGGGAGACCTGTCAGACCCAAGAGATATCTATTTGTCTAGTAAGTCTTCCCACTAAACACCTTCCCCCAAATCCTAGGGAGAAGGCATCTAATGTTATCTAGACCCTACAGAAATCAGAGCAAAGCCATACCTACAAATTCCTGCACTAATGACAAGGAAAGTCCCTCTCCCCAACCATTGTCCCACTGCCTACCTCCTCCCCAGATAAACACATACCATCTTCTCCTACACTGAATTCTGAGAGGATCCAGTCCCCTTTCCCACTTCCCACCTCCTGTCTAAGAGTTCCTAGGACAACAGCATCCAACTAGAAGCACATACAATCTACATCCAGTATCACTCTTTGCCTCATGACTGAGTTCTTGGCTTCTGGTGGGCCCTATCCCTTGGACTTTTTCCTCAGGTCTTAAGTCAGCTACCATCCTAGAGGCCTTTCAGTGCCAACCCAGGGGCAGTCATAACAAGAAGTCTGAGTCCAGCCGAAGTCCCTCTCCCTGGGGTCTTGCAGGACGTAGAACACATTACTGGAACTAAAGCCCATCTCTGAATGGATCTCCCCCATCTCCACTGGTTTCAACCAGAACATCCCAATCACAACAGAAGAAACTCCCCAATTTCCACCACTGCCCATCTAAATCCAACCCAGGCCCACCCCCTGGCCCTTGCCATGACTGAGCTCAGGATCTCATCCAGCCTGAAGGCCTCAGGTCGTTGCCCTTAGCAACACCAACAGCCCTTCCTCCTCAGATGGCCCTAGTAGTTAACAGAAGTGGGCCTTAAGAGTTACTGAGCATGTGTAGCCAGGCCTGAGGCTAGGCATGCTGGGAGTTGTAGTCTCAGGAAGCACACCACCACTTGGAGCTGTTCTAAACGGGGCAGGACAGAGCAAAGTAGCTTCCTTCCTCTTCCGTCAAGCAGGGTTTCAACACACACTATGGGGGTGGCGGGTAACGGTCCCCTCTTCTAAGATATGCCTGCCTATCCCAGAGCCAAATGAAACACGTTAAAGTTATCCCTAAGAAGGTCAAGACCCACACCTTTGGGTATGTTTTCCTAAACCTCAGATAAAACTAAACACAGTACCAAAAAGAGAGAAGTAAAGAATAAGAATTACAGAGCTGAGGAAGAGGAAAGAGGTCCTATAGAAGAAGGGAGAAAAGGACAGGTATAAACAGCTCTTAGTGGGAAGGGTAGGGGCTTAAGCAGAGAAACAGAGTATAGTTTTCCTACAGAAGGTAGAGGGGAATCCCTAAAACAAAACTCTAAATAAAAGTTTGAGAACTGTATCTCTCACCTTCTCCACTCCTCTTGTTTAACCAGAAGAACCACACCAACCTTAGTAAGGACAAGCCTCTCTTCCCAAACCAAATACCCCAGTCAGCCACTGGGGGTTGAGTGACTGGGGCAGATGAGACAGTGGGGAACCCTCAAAGGTGCCCAGGATCCATAAATCAATTACCTAAGAACCACATCATCAGTCCTCTTTCCCTGAGCTAACACTCCATTTCCAGACACTGGCAGTGGGCCTCATGTAACATGTCACAGGAAGGGAAATTTTACTTTACTTCTTTCCCCTCACACTATTAGATTCTACTAGATTGGGAAAGTGAAATAGCACCTGATACCTGTTACCTCTATTCCCAGATCACCTCTTTACCAAAGAGGTAAAGAGAGGATCCAGTGCCCTTTCCCACTTCCCACCTCCTGTCTAAGAGTTCCCAGGACAATAGCATCCCACACAATCACCCACACAATCACACCCACACAATCACACCTGAAAGGAAAGCAGGGTGGTCATCTAGCCAGCCCACAGAAAAGCTGCCACCCACACAATCACACCTGAAAGGAAAGCAGGGTGGTCATCTAGCCAGCCCACAGAAAAGCTGCTCTGGAACTTCAAGGGGCCGCCTAGAAGCCTCCTATGTGAATTAGGGGTTGGAGGTCAGGGCACCAGCCAGGCTCCTCTTCCTATTCAGTTATCCAAGGCCTGACCACACCCGGAAGGCTTCGAAGTTTCCTAAATGTGTGCAACTTTTGCTGTACCTTACCACTAAATGCCGCCAAGATCTTCCAACTGTTGTGCTCTCAAAGTTAAGGCTAAAGGAGTCACAAACATCAAGAAATGAAAAGCAACAGTGATAGTACAGTGGGTGGGAGGAGGACTGCCTCACACAAGGCCAGAGGGACAAATTCCTCCGCCCTCCCCCAAGCGCAGCCCTCTCAAGCTGGTAATGCTGGCACTGCTTGGGGAGCTACAGAAACCACCTTCGTCTAGCCTTGGGAATCAGTACCAACATCCTCCAAAGCGGCAGCCTCATTCATGGCACCATGGAAGATGAGAGATAAGCAAAGGGGTGAGTGTTCTCCAAGCTGAGGAAAAAGAATCTAGAGGCACTTCCAAGAAGCCCTATTTCACTACCCTGCAGTCTAGCGCCTGCACCCCAATGCTGAGTACCAGTTGTCAGGCCCCTCCTTAAACAGATCTAAACAAATAAAGACCATAGGTCCCCCTGTCCCATCATTCACAGCCAGAAACCACACATCCACACCAAGGGTTTTTTCCCTGGATCTAAACTGGGGTAATGCCTGGCCAGGCTTCCTCAGGGGAACTAGGGATCCCAGAGAAATACAGATCTAGGGAGTAAAACCGTGGTGGGTCCCCTTAATCCTAGGCCAAAGAGGCCCAGAACAGCAAGGAAAAAAGCAGGGATTCATCTCAACCCACTTTCCTCCCTGCCTCCATCCCAGACCAAAAGCTTTAACTCCATTTTCCCAGCCAAAGGGGAAATGGAGGCTTGGAGAGGTGAAAGGCTGAAGCAGGCCCTTGAGTGAACAGCTCTTCTCTAGGACTCAGGACTTCCTGGTTCCCAGCCTGAAACTCAAACCACACCTCTCCCCACCCCCATTTTGGGTTGGCCCTCCAGGGAAGAATCCAAATGGCAACAGTGGCCCTGTAGACCCTCCGGACTACCCCCTGGGTCATCCTAGGGTCAGCCACAGCTAACAAGGAGAGGTATCTCCTAAGGAAGTTCTTCAGGGACAGACAACAGGAGAGGCCCTCCACAGGAGGCAAGGGCAGACAGCATGGGCAACAGCTAGCCTCATTCCGGCACCCCTGTGCCACCTCTCACCTCAGGATTACCACCCAGAAATCTTTCAAGGGCAAATCCCTATTTTCTCCTTTCCAAGACCAGGCTCAAAGAGGTCTAGCCCTCATATGGTGGAGGGAGTAGAGTGAGGGAGCAAAATACACCAGCCAAATCCCTGCTGGGCAGCATGACAGCTGTGAGAGGGGCTGTCCCAGCCCAGGGTCAGAGGCATGAGGCTCATGCTGCACCCTTCGTGCAGTCACATACACACCACTTCTCCCCAACACCTCCTGCCAGGGCTGAAAACATTGGCTTCAGCAGACACAGCTCTGCTCAGGTCACTTCTCCTCCAAGGAGATATAGGCCCCCCTATTCTGCAGAGTTGGGACAGGATCAGAGGACCAGTTAACATTCCCTGATTTAAAAAGGTTGGAGAGGTCTGGGAGGAGCCTGCAAGATCAGCCAGGGACTTATGGGCAACCAGCTCTCCACACCAGGCCCAGAGAAAGCGGGAGACAAAAGCCATTTTTTTGCAGCCCACATTCGCAGGGAGCAAATCTCAACGGCCTCCTCTATAATCCCCTAGAGATTATGTCCATCCGGAGAGGAGGGGAGGCAAAGCAGGCTAAGACAGCACTAGGCCTCGCTAGGGTCACTCTGCCAGGCAGGGGTAGTTGAAAGTTGAACAGCAAGGCCACAGCTGCCCCCAGCCCCGCCTCCTTCTTGCCCCAGCCACCCCTTCATCACAATGGTCAGTTTCCACACACTCTCCCCTTTGCACAGTGAAATAAGGCCTAGTGAAGGATCTAGGGCTCCCTGAATCTCCCAAAGACTGCTCTGGGTGCCCGGATGGGCAAGAGCAACCTTAAAGTCCAACCTGGCAGTAAATCGGACCTGGCAGTGCCACCCTACCCCCGCTCCCAAGTTGTTCTATTCCCAAGGCCCACAAGGAACCCTGAAGGAGAAGCAGCTGACTGGGATTGGTGCTGGCATCAGGGCTTGGGTCCTAGTTTGGTAGAGCTCCCCCCAACACAAAAATAAACAGGCAGAGAGGCTTTCTGGCCAGGTTCCCAAACTCCCGTGGTTCCCTGAACCCCCCAGTCTTTAAAGAGGCACACCCCAGGACACCAGGCCTCGGTTGTGCTCTGGCGACTGGCTCAGGTTCCCTTGACAGACCCTGCCAAAGGAACCCTCTTCAGCTCTGGCACCCCTTTCTCCAACCTACAGGCCAGCTCCGGCCAAGATAGTCCATCTGGCTATGCCCCCAGTCCAACCCTTTCTGGGCCCTGGCCGGGCGGACTTCACTCACCTCTTCACAGGGCGATCCAGAAATCCTCATCCGAGAACATGGCCAGAGCCCGGGCCGCTCCCCGACCTCCAACCGCCAGAGCGATCACAGCCGCCCCCCGCACGGGGGGGCTTAGGGGGGCCAAGAACGGTAAATCCAGGTCGGAGTGGCCACCCTCCCCCGCCCCAAAAAAGCAAGAAGCCAAAGAAGGGCTCTCTGCCTCGGGTTCCAGCAGTTTAGGTTTCCATGGACAGCCCCTGGGCGGCGAATCCCGAGCGGACACAAAGAGAGCACCGGTGGCTTTGATCTTGGGCGAGCAGGATCCGCATCCGCGTCGCCGGGCGGCCTCTCAGTCCTAGGGCTGGGCCAGCGCCCCGGCCGCCCGCACCGGGCTCGGGCGGAACGTCGAGGCTCTCCAGATGGAACGTCGAGGCGCCTCCCCAGCAGCCCGGAAGGAATGCCGCGCCGCCCCGCGCCGGGCCCGGATGGAACGTGAGACCCTCGCAGGAGCGCCGAGCCCCTCTCCCCGCTCGGGCCGGCGCCCCGGGGCCGCGCGAGCTACGGCGACACGGAGCCGGCGGGGCCGCGGAGCTGAACCTGACACACACCCCAGCGCCGGGCTCCTCGACCCCGAGCGCTCGCCCTCGGCGGCTTCGAGCCCCCCACCTTCTGCTCCCCCCGGGGAAGGGAGGAGGGTAGGTGGGCGAGGAAGAGGAAGGGGCGGGCGGTGCGAGCCCTCTGCCCGCTCCCCTCCGGCCGCTCCGGGCCCTGCGCTCGCCTCCCTTCCCCTCTGGCCTCGGGAGCTGCCCCGCCCCCGGCCTGGCCGGCTCTGATCGGCGGCACCCCCTCGACCCCCGGCTGGCTGCGATCGCGGGGGGCCTAGAGGTGCATGGCCCAACCCCGGCTCCCGGCGCCGGGGGGTCAGGAAACTGAGCGGAAAGTGGGGAACGAGGCAGCCATTTGCAACCGGAGAGGAAAGTAGTGCAGCGCGGCGCCGCTCCGCCTCCCCCCCCCCTCCGCCTCCTGTTCGGCCGGTAGGGTGGTTCCTGCGAAGGGGCTATTTCCTGGCCCGAGATCTCGGCAATGGTCGTGGAGATTCAGGAAGCCTCCGGCGCGAGATCCGGGTGGCCCTTTTGCCCGGTGAACCCCACTCCAGAAGGGGGAGAAAGGAGAAGACGCGGCCCTATTTTGTGTTGGAGCGGAGCGGCGGAGGGATCCGGCCCTCTCGGAGGAAAGGCTGTGACTCTGCAGTTCTACGCACACGCTAAGGGATCCCTCCGCCACGGGTTAACCCCGACTGCGCCGGGCCAGCCGCTGTGCAGACACGTGGGAAAGAAGCCCCCTTCCTCTTCGCCCCGGCCCTAGAACTGCCTCCTGTACCGCCCGGCTAGTAGAACTAGGACTCCGTGCACTTTCTAATTCCGTTTCCCTGGAGTTATCGGCCCCTGAAACTCCAGCTGCCCCTTGCCTTGACCAGGAGCAATCTTTCCCGGGAGGGGGGATGGAAGAAGAGCCAGGAGGTTGGCCGCTGCTCTGCATCCTGGGAACTGGAGTCCGCAAATGGAGAAAGTGAGGCACGGCGCCTGGCGCTGCAAAGGGTGGGTTCCTGCCACGTTCGGGGGCCTGAAGAAAAACGGAACGAGTCCCTAGTCGTTCCTTCTGACTCTCAAATCCCCTCGAGAGGAAAGAGGACTGTTAGTGCCCCCACAATCACCTCCCCCATCAAAACATAAATGTAGAGTTTCCCCTCCTTTGCCGGGTGCTCCCACCCCCAGCCCCAGTCCTTTCCTAATCTTCAGGGCCTGTGTCCCCCTTCTTAGTAAACATGTAACCCCTTTTTAGAGAGCATGTAACTTGTAGCCTTGCTGCTACCTGGCCGGAGTACTGTTATTCTGGGCAAGATCCCAGCATACAGACACCCCCCCCTCCCTCCTCCATTAGTCTGGATGAGAAGGGATTGGAAATGACTTCTCTGCATTAACTCTATCCACGGGATGGACAGGAGGAGACAAATTAACAAATGTGCTAGATACTTTATATATTCTTAGTTATTCCTCACCCTCGTTATGAAGTACATGTAATTATGTCCATGTTACAGATGAAGAGATTGAGACTGAAATAGGTAAAATTGCTCAACAAACCACATGAAGTGAGAAGTTGAGCCATGCATGATGCAAAACAATGGCCATGTTTTTCCTGGGATATGTGTGTGTATTCATATATATTTATTTTATTATTTTTTTTTTTAAGATGTGGAGAAAGAGGCAGGCAAATCAGGTGCAGGGCTGGTTTTGTGGGAAAGGGTTTTTACAGTGCTGCCCAATAGAACTTTCTGCAATGACAGAAATGCACTACACACTATCTAATACGGTTTAGCCACATGTAGCTATTGAGCACTTTGAAATGTAGGTGGTGCAACTGAGGAACTTTTAATTTTAGTTAATTTTAAAACTAAATTAAATAGTAATATGTGACTTGCGGCTTTCATATTGGACAGTGCAGGAGACCTAAATCCCTACTGGCCAGAGTCATAGGAGGGATCAGATATGTCCTGTGCTAGCCACACACTGACATATGCTCTTCACTGACCATTCAGGTCTGTTTCAGCAAAAAAGTCCAGCACTGACCCCACACCTGTCCCAGCTATAGTGGAATAAGTTCACCAAGAGTCAGAAGTTGGAAAATAGAAGGCCTCTCCCTACTCTGCACCCAGAGGCAGACCCTCACCAGAAAGACCTCAAATAACACAATAGCCCCTATTTCTTAAGGGTTTATTATGTATGAGGACCTATGCTAAGTATTTCATAAATCACTTCAGTTTAATTCTCACATCAGTCCTATGAGGAAGGTTTAACTACACTTCATAAATGAGAAACTGAGAGAGGTTCAGAGGCTCAGAGAGGTTAAGTGTCTGCCCAAGGTCACACAGCTAAGTGGAAGAGTAACTCTTTTAACCCAGCCATTAACCACTATTCTTTACTACTATCAGGCCTTGAGATTGTTTGATACACTTCTAGAAAACCTCAGACATTTGTTATTCTATCTCAGACCTCATGGAAATAACAGGAGTGTAGGTACCCTTAATGAGAATTCCAAGTCAGATGTATAAAAGGACCTAATTTTAGTGTAGGGAGAGAGGGTGTTTACAACCCTAAAGAGACTCCTAAGCCCCCCGAGAGATTGCTCTTTGGAATATGCTCCTTCCTGCAGCCCTTAATTCTTTTTAGATTCTAGATCAGAGATGCAAAAGCAGCTGGCAGGACTTTTGAAAACCAGCATGACAAACCGTCATCCCCAACTGTAAGCCCAACTAGCCTGGAGCCAGGCAATAACAAGGTCACAGCTAAATATCACACCTAAATTTTGTCCATTTTCCCCAACTAAGTGCATTGACAGAGTTGGCAGGAGTGCATCCCCAGCTGGCAGGAGAACTCTATGCCCTTCCTGTGAAGGATACCATTCAGGTAACCCTTATAAGTTCTTGGAGGAGGTATTAGGCCAGTTAGGCCCTAGGGCTGCTGGGGAGGGGTGGGGGGTAGAGGCAGGTAGGACCAAATTTTCCTAGCCAAACCCATCCTCCTACCGAGCTGGCCAGTCAATAAGAAAGAGCAGAAGCAATAGCCTTTGACACCAAAAAAGGTAGCACAACTCCAAAGGTGTGAAAGGTATGAAAGGAGCAAAGAACATCCATTTTAATGAATGGCACTCGAGGAGATGGAGAGCTAGCGGGGAGTGGGGATTGAGCAGGGGCATTATCTCTTACTTTATTCAACTCTTAAAAAGCTGAAATCATCATAACACTTTAGTCCCTGCCTTCACACTACTTCACAATTCTTACATCATTAGGAACAAGGGTCTTTCTTCCTCCACCTAAACCCTATCCTCTCTGAGTTCCAGCAAATGCCAAGGCCCCGCAAGGGACGCTATGTCAGCATGTGGCAGCCGGCCACTAGAGGGTAGTGTTTCTGTAGTTAAGGGGATTGTGAGAGCCTACAAATTTGGATGGGAGTGGCAGTCAATAGGTTACCTCTGTATAGGAGAAGAGTCGAAAAGAAAGGTGGGAAAGATAAGTAGTAAGTCTTAGGGTAATGGTCCTGAATGAGTGAGGGGTAAGGAATAGGAACAAGGTAGGAGGAAAGATTCTCTACCAAAGGCCATAGTCATCACTCCTTAGAAAAGGAGATATTGGCCCTGAGCTCTCCCCAGATACAGAGAAGTCAACTACAAAAAGATTAATCAGTTTATTTGCATATATACATTGTCACTCCAGGGAGCCAGCTCCACTTCAGGAGTCCCCAGCTCCCCTCACCCAGCCAATACCCAAAACCTACATAGGAGACTGGGTCCTGAATAAACAATGCCCAGGACTCATATCCCAACTCCATAGGTTATAACAATTCATTTATTTAGCAAAAACAGAGCTAGAGGACAGTGCCCATGAGACATCCTTGCCTCTTTGTAAACATCGACAACCAGGCCACTGGAGCCCAGGTAAGTGTGCAAACATGAGGGTACCACACTGTGTGCCCAGAGGGCAAGGGACACAGCTGGCAACCGAACAAACCCGTGAAGTCCTGAGGGCCTGCCCCCCCCAAGCCCCCACTGGAGCCTGGCAAGTGCCAGGGGCAGAATCAAGGCAGCTACCCCATGCTCAAGGGCTCACATGAGATGGCAGCGGCGCTCTTGCCCATATGAATTCTCTACCCGAGCAATCTCCTGGATGACTTTGGTGAAGATGCCTTGAGTCAGCTGCAAGGGATAAGGATTCAGGGCAAAAAAAATCGTTTAGTTCACTGCCAATACCACCCAACTCTGAGGTGAATACCCCATTCCCCCACCATCCCCACCACCAAGCAGTGCCATAACACTGCTACCGCCACCACCTTCCTAATCTTCAGGCCCAGCACCTGCTTATCTCGAGCAGATGACTCCATAAATGTCGCACCCCAGGACTCTGCCAGCTTCTTCCCCTCAACAGCCTGGACCTCCCTAGAAGCAAATTTGGGACATGAAAATGAAGGACAGCAATGGCCCCATGTTCTCTGCAAAATCTTTACAGGAGCCTAGGACTGAGGCTTGAAATATGAAATGATAGTTTTTGAAATAGAAGGGTTGTTTTGTCTTACCCTTCAAGTTAGAAATGAAGAGGTAAAATGACTGGTTCGAATCAGTGGCAGAGCCACGACAAGACCCTGGCTCATTGCTAGTCCAGCTCACTTTCCTTCGCCTTAAGCTACAGAGATTTCCATACCTGTCTGGAGAGAGATCTGCCTTGTTCCCCACCAGCACCACTGGCAGCCTGGGAGGAAACAGCAGTTACTACAGGAGCCCCTCTGTTCCCCATGGACCCCAACCTCCTTCAAATCAGAGCAGGACAACTCCCCATCAAACCAGACAGGATCTATGTCCTGACTTTCTCCTTAATTTGGATCAATATGCCCCTCTGTCCTCCCTCTCCCCTCGGGTCCACACTATGTCTTTATCCCCCAGAGCCACATACCGGGTTTTCCCGTGGCCTTCATGTAGCTTTTGGTACAGACTCTCAATGACTTGGAAACTTTAAACACAAGAAATGAATCTATAACTTTATTCTGGGACAGCCCTCAGATCCTCCCAAGTCTCCCACTCACAACCTTGGTCACTTACCTATGCAGAGAGGTGACAGAATACACAAGCACATAACCATGGACCCCAATGATGAATGAATAGGGCAGAATGCTGTACTCATCCTGACAAGAAATAGAAACATCAATACCTAGATCCACAGCACTCAGATAGCCAAGGTTGGTGGGCTGTATCCTGGGGACCCTCCCTGTGGCACTCCCTACTCCAGTCACTTCTGTTCAACAAGTATTAATAGAGTAGCTCCAATCAGCGCTGCACACTGAAATGCTGCTAAAATGCTTTTCTTTTAATCCTACTTTACAGATGAGCCTCAGAGGCTACCAGACTTCATCTCCCA